GATATGTAAATAAATAAATAAATAAATTGACAAGCAAACAAAGCAATATTGAAAAGGTTCGGGTATAAAGTATTCATATTATCCATGAGACTGAACTAAAGTTAACTAATAGAATTGAATTAATGCATTTGACAGCCTCACGATTAATGTTTACTAGTTCAAAGAAGTGGGAGAAGCCTCAAGGCTCTTCGAGCAAATAGAAGAGCTCAAAATGACAGTGCAACTGGACACTGGAGAATTGTGTAGATACGGACATGATATCAATAGTATAGGGAAATTTCTCGATCCACACCGCATAGTGCAGACGTGTTATATTATCTTACACTACTCTCTCCTTACCTTTTTGAAATTTTTCATGAAGCCAAATGCGCTGATTTGCTGCAAATAAACTCACACCTGGAGAAACATGAAATTTTTCCATTATAATTTATGTTTCATGTGCATATATTCGAACGCAGGTATGAAGAATACATACATCTAGTGATATATATATATATATATATATATATATATATATGTTTTAAGTGTATAACTGTTAAGTAACAAGAATATATATATGGTTATATTCACTCCATCACAAACTTTTGTTTGACCTATTAAATACTATTATACAATTTATTATTCTTACGTTATTTCCAATTCCTTAGTTACAGCCTCTCGCAATCACAGCCATTTTCGACTTGATCTTGTATGATTGGTATGTTCTGTTTTACGGTATTATGCGGTCTGATTTGCTTGTATTTAAACTGCGTATGTCCGAAGTAGATGATACATGCAGTTGAAGCTGAGATTGTGTTCTGGACTCAAAAAGAAAAATTTATGTGAGAACTGCCAATAAGGACTCGGAGTTGACCCTAGGCTGCATGTACTGATTAACGCGTCACTGGTTTGGCACGGCGCCATGGTCATGTGAGTTGGTGTTCCATTAGTGATTTAGCCATGGGATATTTAATATGGACGAAAGTTATAATCAACAAGTAATGGTTGAACGAACATACAATCACTTCCCTTATGTGTTTTTACGATATGTGAAAAGCGCAACAGAAAATCTCCATGTGGTATGCTTTTAACCACTCGGTGCTCAATGGCGAAATCACAAGCACTCAACTCTGGATCACAGTAGTAGATGACTTACGAAATAACTTGTTTGGGTGGTAAATAAACTTTAACGCCTGTTGACCAGCTAAGTCACGGAGTTATACAGCAAACAAGTATTTGTCCAATCGTTTTACTGTCCATGCCACAGCCAGACCCTCCTTTTGGTCTGAGACTATTCTTGTTTACTCTTGCTTAGTCGTTTCGAAACAAAAATAGCGTACCTTACATTCTTCTCGGGAATCACAACTTACCTTAATGGAGATGCATCTATAGTAAGGTTAGATTTTTCAGTTTGTGAAAATGGTCTGAGGAGAGCCTTACCATTTAAAAACTGTGATGTCTCTTAGCATATCTTCGCATCATTGTTCCCATACAAGCTCTCTACTAGAAGCCAAGTCGAAAAGTGAGGATAATACTTATGTAGAGTTAGTGATAAATCTGCAAAAAACAGAAGTCTATGGTCTGAGTGCTGAGATGTTCTTCGGCGACTGTGTTGAATGAATGGAGCAAGGCGACTCATATCATGTTTAAAACCCTTAGTATCTACAGTATAGCCTAGGCAGCTGATAGAATTAAGCATAAACAGACACTTGGATAAGTTTATGGTTACATTTATACCATCTAAATAACTTTGATATAACGTTCCTCATGCGACTTAACATGTTCCACATGAAATCCAATATCATCCTGATGCAATTCAACCCTTTCAAGGCCGGTGATAATCTGATTTATATCTTTCTGGGATATTGCAAGTGGAATAATCAATCTTAATGGAGGGAATTCGTATCCGAATAGCCCGAGTAGTGTATTAATAGTAGTTAGTTCACCAGAGGTTTCATCCAATGAACTTTGCAAATGCACATCTTTAAGGTCTATTTTGGAAAAATACCTTGACCCTCGTAATTTATAAAGATTATCATCAGTTTCTGCAGCTGTGTAACTGTGTTGCTATAGCAGATTATTTAGTATCAGGTGTTGGTCACCGTAAATTTTAGGTGTTCTCCTATCCATTTTTGATGGAACCACAATAATGGTAGCCATACTGGATGGCTCAACCGGTATTATTATCCTGTTTACAGCCAGTTCATCTAGTTAATTCTTTTCAGTCTCTCTTAAACCGTATGGAATCAGTATACGCCTCAAGAAGATGGGCTCTTCCTGAATTCATAAGTGTGCTGGGTGAATTTTCAGATCTCCTACAACCTTCTAACATTGTAAGACTAGATCCTTGATTAAAGTAGTATCAGAAAAATCGATACGTAAAGAAGTGCGTACACCCAACAATCCTAGACCCTTTAACCCAAACACAGGTGGACCATACCCACTAACTAGGAAAGGAATATTGACACAACCACTCCCTTTTTTCCTCAGTGTAATATTGGCTGTACCAATAGTGGGCAATTGATGGCCAGTGATGCCAGTAATTGTTCTACTTGTAGGTTTTAAGTGGACATCATTATAAAGAAAAAATAAATTTCACTTGGGAATGACTGACTTTATGCTACTAGTATCAACAATGAATGAATGTGACTTGCCTGTTTTAGCAATTATTTTTGCACAAAGTGAAAATTACTTCTGCAAGTGGTCGTGAACGATAACGAACATGTAGCAGTAAATGAATCCTCAATACCAATAGTTCTGAAAGTCTTCGAAATTTGATGCTAACCGTGTTGTTTTTACTGGACGCAACTATCTGAAGGCCCTCGGTCACGCATCCGCACCAGATCGCAAGTGGGTTTGTCGTGTCACACATCTCCTACAACCATTAGCCAGCTTAGTTTGATCATTTTTGACATACTAATAACCTATTAAATATGTCTCCGAACCTCTCCACTTCTGACTTCCGATTTCACTGGGTTGGCATATTTCGGTTATAAAAGATGTTAATGGTTAAGGCGTTATCAAACTCTGAATACTTGTGGCATCTTTAAACCCATCCTCCTGACCGAATCAGCTAGTCTTGATCCACCATCGTCCAGTATTTTATTAGTAAACGACTTGAAGCTTTTGCAAACTTGTTGCATATGTCCAGTCCTTCTACACTTACGTGAAATAAGATGCAACTTACCACATGAAAGACATAGCTTAATACCCCAAGACGAATCACAAGTGCTTTCCAACTTATTCAACTGTCTGAATGGTTCTGAATTGTTCTTGTTAGAAGGCGGAAGTTTCTGCAGTATGGAAATTTTGTCCATATTTGTTAATGAAACTACATCATGTTTCGTAACGGAAGCACAGGGATCATTATTTACACTTCTATAAGTAAAACAGAAGTCCTTAGCTATATGAAAGGTGCGGGAAGGGATTTATATGAGCTGTTCTCTAGCTTCAAATCATTTTTGCCAACAGTCAATAAGTTTCGCTTGGAAGCTTGTAACTAACGCCGTAAAATACAATCTCAGATAGTCTGATTCGAATGTTACGTAACAATTATGTGTTACTAATCTCTTTGGTCTGTTTAACAAAAGTAAAATAGTTTTTTAGGTTATGGAAGGTTCTTCAATAAATCATAGGCTTCTCTCCCGATAGCAGTAACACAATTAGCTAAAATGTTGTCTTCCTTGAAGTTATGTGACAAATGCCAAGCATAAAAACATTCTTAATAGTCTTTATACCCCCCCGGGGTGACGTGTTGATGTTCAGTTACCCTAAGTTGCTTGAATTTATTTTAATTGCGACTCCAGATGTGAATTTAGAATAATATAGGTCAATAGAACTGATCCCAATAGATAAAGAACTTAAACAAGGCATAATTAAAAACTAAAATTCGGAGCACTCAGTATGATGGGTTTAATGAACAACATAAAATATTAACTGTACGATAAGCGTAATAATTATTTACCACAGACACATGAGAACCATAAAATAGCACTCAATAATGGGATTTACAGTATACACAATATGACACAAATCTAGGGAAACAACACAAAAAACTGGACTGTCAGTCGGCAGGTGCAGCTAGCTCGTTTAAGGCACAGCTTTCACCTGTTGAGGAAGTTTGGGCAAGAAAACTTGTTTAAATAGGCCATCATCGAAAGTTCTTTGGCCGATAACCTTTCTCATTCGTTGTAATATGTCCGTCGCAGAAACATGTTGCACGTTGATGTTATTGAAGAGTTGGTCAAACCTTTGTCTATCGGTTAGGTTTCCGCGTTTAAGAATAGAACGTTACAGCGTTTCGTAAGGTCCAGAAACATCACTAGTAAAGATACTAGGTGTTACGTACCTGTTGAATTCACGCAGTAGTGCCTTGACTACTGCGAGGAATTGTGCACGTGTGTCGATCACGCCGTGCTCGGAGAAGTCGGCTTCTGCGTAGCAAAACCAGGCTTCGATGTTGTCTGGCCAGAAGGGCATCAGTTGAAACGAAGGTGGGGACAAAGTCTTAAGCTTAAGATCTTTGGGTTTCTGTTCGGTCATGATGAAATATGAGGTACGAGAACGAACGAGGGAAATATATTTATATATATATATATATATATTCAAAAACACGAAAAAAATATATCACAATGTAAAAAAATTAAGATAAGGCAATGATATATAGAGTCCCAAAAAGGATCAGACTCACAGTTTACGATTTGGTGTACCAGACCACGTTAGGCTCACCAATGAAGATGCCACAGGTATTCAGAGTTTGACAACGCTTTAACCAGTAACACCTTCTAATAAAACTCGTACCCACCAGGAGAAATGAAAAGACAGAAGCGAGATCGGAAAATATATTTTATGTGATATCAATATATCGAGAATCGTCTGATCTAATATGACTAGCAATTGCAGGGGTTGTTGAGTACGGCGTTCCCACTCGTGATCTGGTGCGGATGCATGAACGAACGCCTTCATATAGGTGGTCCATTAAAACATGTGGTCAACATCCAATGTCGAAAACTTACAGAGATATTTATTTTGGGGATTTATTTACCTCCATAATACTACTTTTTCTCTTTTTCTTTTCAAGTATACCCAGCTTCTTACCTGAAGATATCGATTAGCTGTCGCTACTAGACTGGAAGCCAGTTGAGTTAAAGCTGTTTCTCTACCATTTGAACCATATTACATAATCCTAACCTTGAGGTCGTAGAGTTCTTGGGGCGGGTCGTGTGGTTGTTAAACATGCCTTTTGTCATGTAACATTATCAAGTCTTTAGTATCTAGCTTCCATTGCCAGGTAACTCTGTAAAAACCCTTAGTTATTGTTGTTCCCCATTATTCACATGGATTTACAGATGTAAGTGAGCACTATATGGGTAATGAAAACAAACCAACTTATCAAAAGCTTTCTTTTCTCAATTTCAGGTTCACTCACACTTCTACCCTCGAGCTAAGCATAAACCTATTATCAACTAAATAACTTCTTAGTGAATTCATGGAATTGGTTGTGTACGAGGTCCACCCTCACATTGCATTATTGCGTGAGTTATGCGGTGAGACCCATGAAGAATCACTGTCTGATGACTCAGACAATGAAAGCTACTTAAAAAGTCTTGATCCAAAAAACTGGAAGAGTCAGGATCATTATTCTGTTTTGGGGCTCAGAAAAAAACGCTTTCTTGCTTCTTCTGACGATATCAGGAAAGCATGTATGTTGTCTTCTGATTGTTAACTGTATTAGATCGCAGAAAAATTTTGAGTCATCACCCTGACAAACGTCGTTCAAAGGGGGAGTTTATTCAAGATGAAAAACTGGACTACTTTTCATGCATAACTATAGGTAAGTTAAAGCAATCCCTTCATTAGTTTTATTCCTTATTAGTAAAATCCAGACTAGTTATAAAGTGAGGTTAGTGTCTTTGTTCAACGCCCCATACATTTTGTAAAGGTGCCATAATATGTTCCATAATGTGATGAAAAAGAGTAACGCAATCCAAGTGTCTTAAATTAGTATCTTTAATGACTTGTCAGTATTAACAACTTCAGACAAACCATCCGTGTATCCGTTTACTACTTAACATCTCTAAGTTCATGTGTGACTGACATTCTGAAATAGTTCTTCCCGGGAGAGAAGACTCAGCTAGGTTATTGCGGTAGTCACACAGCTATAGATGCACTCGGATCTTGTTAAGCGGACATGTCTTGGTTGCGGGGCCTTTGTAAAAAAACTTCAAGTACCAGCACAGTTGGAACAAATGACATCAAGCTGTGTATGTACATCTTTCAGAGCGACCGTTCAAAGATAGTTCAGAAACTTCCACGAATATTTTGTAGGACAGTATTAGCCTCGTTTTTACACATTAAAGTATTTTTAGCTAGTTTGTTTATCTTTTATGACCATTTTGTTTCATCCAGAATATTAAACTATGATTACTTATAAATAGCATACGAAATACTTGGAAATCCCGTCAAACGTCTTGCATATGATAGTGTGGATCCAGTCGTCGTAGATGATTCAGTTCCTACCATCAGTGAAATCAAGTCCAACTTCTTCACTTCATTGGGAAACTTTTTTTATCGTAAATCTAGGTAACTGTCGTTTCCAAATAGTCATTTTTCATGAAGGTGGTCTAAAAAGCAACCTACTCCTCACCTTGGTAACAGTCTAACTGATATAGAAGAAGTCCTCAAGTTTTATGACTTCTGGTAAGTTAATAACGAAGCAAACATTTAATATGACTTTTATTTCTATCTACAATCAATAGCTTGCTCATTGTTTTCCTCAGACAAGCATTTACCCTGAGCTAAAAAGGTACAACTAACGTTTACGAATCTTCGGAATTTTTCAATACTTGTCCCCTCATGTGGCTATATTTCACATAGTCTTGGTTTCCAGTTCGTGTTTGGTTTAAATTTTAGTTATATATAGTGTAATGCTCTCCACAACTTATTTTAAAATGCACAACCATGGGCCTCATAATCACGTGCATAAACTTTTCAACCTAGCCATACACCTACTAATAGAATTTAACACATGTTGCAATTTATAAGGACATAAATATACACTATCAAATCTAACTTGGAGCGTTTTTTCATGACAAGATTATTGATTGTGTTGTTGACGTAAGTTAATTTAGTGTATAATCAGTCTTTTTGACTATGACAATCCCAGTCGGAAGAATATTGAAACAATTACTTGCTTTTAACCACTAAATATCTTATGACTACAAAATATCCAGAAATCTAGAACCCTTAGTCTTTGCTTTGTTCATCCTTATGTTCGCATCTGAATACTCATTAACAGTTCTATGTGCAAATGCTTGCTTACTAAGAGCAGGAAAGGGTATCAACTATGGCTCATCATATTCACGAAAATGTCCAATATCGTATTAAGGCACCATAAACGCGAATTAGCTGGGCTAATACGTAGGAGCACTAGTTCTAATATGCCCCAACGATTGTTTTGAACTAAATTACTAGTCGGTTTCCGTGTTTATCTTACTATTATTTATGATCGTAATAATGAATAAATATATTGGGCACCATTAAACCTTGTCACAACAACAGTCAGATAAAAATATGGACCAGTTCACAATAAATCAGACAATTAAAAAAGCCGTAATAAGGAAAACCAGTTATAGAGGACTAATATGTACAGAATAATATTATAATTAGTCATTTTTAGACACTTATGTGAATATAGCATCAATGGTATTTGTTTGAAAAGCATTTGAGGATTCCCAGCAGCACGAAATGCTAGTTGTCCCGAGGTATCCTCTGCACTAGTATTGCAAAGTCGCTTGTAACGCTACTATATATTTCTTGAGAGAAAAATATCTTGTTGCTTTAATTTTTTACAGGGAAGAATATGATACCTGTCGTGATTACTCATATCTAGATGAAGAAGATAAGGAAAAAGGTGAAGAGTACGTTTCTCAATGTTACCCTTCTTTTACTAACTTATCCAAAATTATTGTTTGTTCAGTACTCGTTAACGTTCACTATTGTTATCAACATTGGATTTTCAGTCACTCAGTCAACTATAACGTAGGACCAGGCATTGGTCCAAGTTGCCATACTTCATTAACATAACAAGATGAACACCGGATTCATAGGAGTGGTTAGGTCAAAGGTGGTAATATATAAAGGAAAGATTGCAATAAGGATATAGTACAGAAGAAAGAATTAGTTCGTAGAAAGAAAGATATGAAGCGATTTTAATCTCTTAGTTTAAGGGAAGACAGAGTGTATACACCGACGCCATTGTGATCGATTCTGAGCCATGTCACCAAGAGTCTCCAACCATTGGTTACGATAGTCACGCGGACCCCAACCAAGTAGTCTGCATCTACCAACATGGCTCAGACTAGAAGTTAGTGACTTCAAGCACTGATGCCACGTTTTGGTTTGGCCGCCCCTAACTTTCTTCCAACCATCCCTAACACCGGTTAGCATTGCACGTCGTGGTAATCGGTGTTCAGGCATACGTAACACGTGGCCCAACCATCTCAGTCGATGAAGATTCACAACCTCATCAACTGATTTACCATCATTCCCTAATACCCTGCGTCTAACCTCACTATTACTTACCCGGTGATCCCAGCAGACGCCAGCAATATTTCTAAGGCATCTGTGGTCAAATACTAGTAGCTTACGAGTGTCTTCTACTCTTAATGGCCATGTTTCGCTGCCGTAAATTAAAACAGAACGGACTGCCGCGCAGTATACTCGTCCTTTTATTGATAGACGGATATCTCGCCTTCGCCATAGGTGACGTAAGTTGGCAAAAGCCAAACGAGCTTTTCGAATCCGTGCTGAGATTTCGTCAGACACCAACCCATTAGGGCTGATCAGACTTCCAAGATAAGTGAAGTTGTCAACGCGTTCGACTACTTCACTCCCTATCCTTAGTTCAGGTGTTGACGCAGACCAGTCCTGAAGCAACAACTTGCATTTAGAGGGAGAGAAGCGCATTCCAAACATTCTGGCATTGTTGCTTAGTGCTACCAAAGACTCTGCATTTTGTCAGCGTCTTCACCAAACAGGACTATGTCATCTGCGTATTCTAAGTCGATAAGTGGACCTCCTGGAAGGAGATCAATACCCGAGAATTCAGTCGACGAGAAGTTATTTCCATCAGTAGGTCTATGATGAAGTTAAACAAAAATGGAGAAAGTGGACAGCCTTGACGGACACCACTTGAGGTTGCAAAAGTAGATGACAGTTCGCCATAAGCTCTGACTCGACTAGTAGTGTTCGAGTAAAGAGCCTTCACAAGGTTTATGTACTTCTGGGTACGCCTTTCAATGACAGACACTGCCACAGAATCTCGCGGTCTACAGAGTCAAATGCTGCTTTTAAGTCAAGAAAGACCACCATTGTCGGACGCCGATAAGTATGCCTGTGTTCTAGAACCTGACGAATGGTGAATATGTGGTCGATGCAGCCACGACCAGGTCTGAAGCCAGCTTGATTCTCTCGTGTTTGCAGTTCACGAGTCTTAGTTAGGCGTCTGATAATTATCGAGGCTAGTATTTTAGATACTATATTAGTTAAACTAATCCCTCTGTGGTTGTCACAGGATGATTTTGACCCTTTCTTATATATTGGGACGATAAGTGATTGACCAGTCAGATGGATAACGTCTAACTCCCAGATCTTAGCTAAAATATTAGTCAACCTAATCGCTAAAATTGGACCACCATCCTTAAAGACCTCTGGAGCCAATCCATCTGGACCAGCTGCCCTTCCTCGTTTCAGATTAACTATAGCCTTTTGAACTTCTGCTAGAGTTGGGGGACCTACTTCAATGTTCCATTCACTGTCTGGGAATGGAGGGTAGTTGTAGAGTAGCTGAAGGCCAGCTGAACTGTTCCGCCCATCGTTCTAAACGTCTGGACTGGGAGCAGATGAGAGTGTCGTGTTTTTCCGAAATAGTCTGACTTACACTTGACTTATTAATTCCAGTTTCTTTTATTAGTCTGTAAAGCTGTCTTGTGTTCCCTATAGCCGCCGCCTTTTCCATCTCTTTTGCTTTCGTTGCCCACCACTGCTCACGGTCGTTCCTTAGACTTTTGCTTAACCTAGATCTGATTTGTTGTCGCTCTTCATCGTGTTCAGAGCCTGATGGGATGAGTTTACGAGAATCCATCAGTGCAATAGACCTTGAAGAAATCCATTGGTTCTTTGTACCCTGTGGTTTAAATCACTGATAGATGTCACTGCTGTTTCCACAGCTGTTTGTATATCTTTCCAAGCAACATCTGGGTCAGCCTCGTCTTCAGAACTACCTAATTGTGACCTCAGTTGTTCCTGGAACCTACTTTTGGTTTTCTCGCTACTCAATTCAGTTCTAATGGGTCTTTTTACTGTGGCTTTTTTGCGTCCAGTGAGGCGCAAGCAGATGCGTGCCCGTATTAGGGCGTGGTCGGAGTCCAAGCAGGTACTCCAGAATGAGCGACAATCTTCTACCGACCCTCTCCAACGATGACTGATGGCAATATGGTCTATTTGAGTCCATCGTTGGTTTGGTGTAGGGGGTCGCCATGTTAGACGATGTCTCTCCTTATGCTTAAAATTTGTGTTTGCTAAAAATAAACGATTGTCTGAGCACAGTTGCAGCAGACGATCACCATTATCTGTTCGCTGTGCCGGAATACTAAAATATCCACCTAAATGCCTTTCTGTTTGGTTTAAACTACCTATCTGGGCATTAAAGTCACCTGCTACGAGTACTATGTCTGAACGTTTAGCTTTCTGAAGAAGTTCAGATAGCTTTCTGTAAAATTCATCTTTCACTTCATCTGAGCTGCAGTCGGTGGGAGCGTAGGCAGAAACGAAAAAAGGCAACGACATGTGTCCCTATCCTTCCGAGTTCTTACGGAGCCGTTTAGCCGAACAGCACATAAACGACTGTTAACGTGGACAGCCTTGACGGACACCACTTGAGGTTGCAAAAGCAGATAACAGTTCGCCATCAGCTCTGACTCGTCTACTGAATTCTCGGGTACTGATCTCCTACCAGGAGGTACACTTATCGACTTAGAATACCCAGATGATATAGTCCTGTTTGGTGAAGACGCTGATAAAATGCAGAGTCTTTTGGTTGCACTAAGCAACAGTGCCAGAGTGTTTGGAATGCGCTTCTCTCCCTCTAAATGCAAGTTGTTGCTTCAGCACTGGTCTGCGTCAACACCTGAACTAAGGATAGGGAGTGAAGTAGTCGAACAATTATAACTTCTAACGTATTACATAGATCACTACTGCTCGACGGTTTCTAATCAACAAATTAAAACATGGCATTTGACCAGAGAATACGTTCTCTAGGTATTAGAAATACGACCAAATTAGCTGTTTGGTCCTCATTAGCTATTTTTGATTTAATAAGTAATTCCCATTTATTGAAATTAGATTTCGTAGTCAATATATAAATGGCCATCTCTGATACTAATACTAATCAACTGAGTTGAGATCTAAAGAGACCGAATTAGACAGCAAAACAAAGGTATTTCCACTTGTCATTTACACATTGTTTGAATTTTTCGCTTAAAACTAAAGGCTCGTCCCAATAGCATAGTTTCAACGAATGTCCAGGGTTATGCCTTTTCCTACTCAAACAGTTAGTCTATTTTCATGTGAATGAACTCTAAAGTTATTAACTAAAATTTTCAGCCGAACAGCACATGAAACGACTGTTAACGGGGATCCACTCTAACAGTGCTTGTTCCGCCCTCATGCTTAGTGCTATCCCTACTCCTGCCAGTCCACGAGAGCTGGCCGTCGAAACACCAGATACACGGAGGGTGTATCTCGTTGGCTCTCCGTTTTGCCGAGGTGAGGTCAAGTGCATGACCACACTGGGATCCTGTATGCGTGTTTCAGAGACACAGCATACATCAATAGTACGATATTCTAGGGTTCTAGCCAAGGAGGCCTGCTGATCGATTTGACATAGGGTGCGTACGTTGAAGGCTCCAATGTGTAGTTTTCAGTAGACCTGGGACAGTGTTTTGAGCACTAGAATCGTTGGCTATGGTGACACTTAAGTAGGAAGGAAGCCGAAAATGGAAGTTTAGAAGTGAAAGTCGATGTAGGAGGAATAATAGGAAGTGAAGAGGGAGGTCGATTATGAATACAGTGATCTTGAGTGCTGTTAGAGGTATGAGGGCGATTATCACTTCCCGGTTGCCCACACCGTGGAAGGGTTGTTCTGGAGGTACCTGAAAAGGAAATTGGATTAAAGGTGGTATTAGTGACCTGGGAGCGTGACCGCAGTACCCAAGGGAACAACTGCTTGAGGTTGGTCACACACGATTTTTTATGGGTAATCTTTGTGTTAGCTCCGTACTTGTTGAGACCTTACCGCCGGAGACGGATATCCGTGGGATAAGGTGAGGTGTGCATTTTTAGGGTCGACCTTTTCTAACGCCACCCCTCCTTGTGGGAAGGCAGCATCGCTGTCATGCTGGTTGTCTGAAGGAAACACCTTACTGCTGTCACACCTCTGTACAGTCAGCAGTACGACTTCGCCTTCGGACCTTGGGTTTGTTGCTTTTAGTCTTACCGCTCTTCAACCGACCTGTCTGACATGGTAGGACATTGAGGAACGGTTGTTCCATCCAGTATAGCTCGGTTGCTTCATCACGATGGGCAAGCTCGACCACCACGTCAAGGTAGCAACAACGGTCGGGAAAGATTTGATTTTATTGATCACTGAATGCAGATATTTTTAGGTCGAAACAAGTTTGCTCATACATCATGTCAGAAAAAGGTATTGTCTTCTCTAATTATACTTTTTATCTCTGACTAGTTATATTGCTTATCTATTTGGATTTTCAACCAGTCATCAATATTATATTTTTCTGATGCAAAATACATACATATCAATATTTTGTTTTTATACAAATGCACGTTTTTCAGATAAATATTATACTCATTAATCATATTGCACAGTTTTTACAAGGCACTTAATATGACTTAAATTTTCACGAAAATTGGAATGGAACAAGCCTCTATTTGATTCACTAAATAAAATGCGTCTTAGCTCAGTTTGCCAAGGAATTATATGTGATATAATACTTGATTGTTCTTGTATCAACCATAAGGTCCTTTACTTATATACCAGGAAATACTAAATATTAATTTTATTTCATTCCAGCATTTCACACCAATGCACTTCTATGACCTATTTTGATGTTGAATATTCCGCATCTGACCTTGTAAGCTTTACTCAAACTGTTTAATAGTAACGTAACTCAACTCATGATGTACTGAATCGTAAATGTTGTAATTGTATTGAACCATCGGATGAATTCTACTAGGCTATTCACTAAAAACGTTTCGAAATTTATTTAAGATTATCTTGCAAACTAGATCTTCTGTTTTCACATAGTGTATACGTAACATTGTATCCAACCAATTGTAATTTTACTTCATATTATGGTCAAGATTTCGACAAAAATATCTCATCATTAAAAAATGTTCATAACTGCAGGTCTGATTGCCGACGTTTTGACCAAACTGTGCACTATCGTAAAAGTGAAGTGGTTTAATGGTTAATGCATCTAATCAGTTGGTCGCAGGTTCAAACTTTGCTTTATTTTAGTTTTGGTTAGCTGAGTACTATTCCTAGCCCTTGCATGAACAGTATGGCACAAAGTCGACTACACATACTTTTACGTAATAAACAAGGTTATATAAATAGCATTGATGAGAACAACTTTGTCTGTATTTAAATCGTAATACTTGGCTTTGTAAATTGTGCGTATAACTCTAGAAACAACTGAGGATTTTGGCGTTTATTAGCGAGGTTTCTTTTTACAGGATGGGGTTGACATTCCCGTGCCCAAACTTCGTCCTTTATCCGTGCTTGGGGCTGGAAAGAACCCTAGAAAGGTCCTAGATGGAGTTAGAAATAACCAAACTAAACATATTTACCACGGAACCAACCATAGTTACGAAAGTGAACACTTTATTTACCATGTTAGAGACTCAGATTTAGTGTAATAGCTTCTGCAAACTAGTTACTCAAGCCTATTCCTTTTATTTGTAAACAATATTTGCCTCGATTTGTTTAAAATTTTCTCGACAAACAAATCAGCTGTACTTATTAATATGTGTGTACCTTGTGGAAAGTTTTATTGATAAGTGTATTTAAAGAATAAAACCTTTAAGTTTGAGGTGTTTCAAAATTTCGTAAAATTATCCATTGTTTTATTTATTTATTTATTTTAACATATAGATATTGGTACAAGGAGGCACCAAATACATATGCGCCACACAAATCTCGTTTGATATGTGAGAGGGCTGTGATACTGCTAGGGTGCCCAAACCGAAGCAGGTAGTTTTCTTAGGGGGCCACACCTGGAGCCTTCGACCTGAAGGTCTGATCCACAAGGCAGTGAAGCATCGTGAGAAGAAGCAGTCCCATGGTAGCCGGTGACCAACAATTGGTCCATGCGCCATTTGTTCCTTCAGGATCCTGGAGCCCATATGCACTATTGGTTTGGAATCAGGGTTTTTCAACTCCCCTAGGTGGATCCTCCATATCCACCAACACGGTAAAGCGCCGGACATTCGCTTTTGTCCTCTCAACTTCGCCACGAGAAGGCGATGAGTAGGACTTTCCTGATAAAGGCTATATACGCGTGGTCATGTGAGAGCATTTGGGGAGGGAGAGCGGACTCCTCCCACTCTCGGCCGTATCAGGGCATTTGGGGGCTTAAATTATCTATTGAATCATAGTCAAAATAGTTTTTTAGCATGTAGTTTTTATAAAATAAACGTTTACAATCATTTTTTTAATATTCTGTATTTCATAGGTTTTCAAAGAAACCTATATTCCTGAATTTATAGTTTCTTCCTAATGTTAAGATATATGTACGTTGACTGCAAATATTTATACTTTTATTATGTGCAAACCAATACCATGTAACAGTGATTCGCGAAACACCCAAGTTTTCTTAGTGTGTGTAAATTTGATTAAATCGTAACTGCTCATAATTTATATTTGTTTCAGTCGAGAAACAAGACGTGCGATAGAGAGACAAAATCGTATTGAACGAGCACGTCGAAGGAATGAAGAAGTAAGCAATGTTCGGAACATAGTCCTTCTTGCTAAAGAAAATGATCCAAGAATTCTAGCTGCAAACAAGGCCGCTCGTGATGCTAAGGAAGCAAAACGTCAGGCTCGTTTAGTTGCTGTACAGAAACGACGTGAAATGGAGGAAGAGGTAAGATACTCAATTATTTTTAGACAAGAGTCAGTATACTATCTCATATTTCTTACAGGAAATAAGCATACACAATACATATTTTAGTCTTCTATAAGCTATATTGTGCCGCTAGCAGATTTGCTAAAAAAAATCCGTGATGTAAATGTATCCATTAGTAAGCCCATTATTTTGATGAAAAATTTGTCAGTAGCCATTAAAACACGCAGTTATTGCTTTATAAAAATAATTCTTTCAAAGTCCATGATATACAGGTGATTTCTGATGGCAACTGTAACTACTACTTCACATTTTCAATATGATAATCTTACTCATTTACCCTCATATTTATATGGATTTGACCAACAAAATGTTGAATGAAAACTAGGTTATCCTTCAAAAATTTCAAGTTTCAGTTCCCTTTATTTGAAAAGTTTTATCAGCATAGAAATTAGAAAAATGTACCAAAGAAATAAAAAATGCTTTAAACATTCAAAGATGCAGGATTGGTGAACAGTGACCTAGTTGTTGTACTGATTCACACTAACAGTGTGATGCTGAAAAAGTATTTTGTGATTTTAGTTTACGTTTTGTAGTATGAATTTTATTATCTACAAAGTACACCGTTTTATTTCTGCACTATTCTTCTATCCCACTTCAATACTTTTCACTTTACCAATAGTGGTGGTATTCTAATTGATAATTAGTTTTATTCAGCTTGTAAGCAGTCTAACATCTATGTGAAACGATATGTAGACACATGTTTTTAATGTACAGTATAATAATTCATTTTAGGAAATGGCTGCTCATAAACGGAATGATAGACCATTCATCTTGGTCAATTACACTCTAATGAAACATTTTAAATGAGGTTCAATAACTGTCTAATGCTCTTTAGGTATCTTTTACTCTCCATTCAGTGTCAGTTTGCGATTTGAACTTTTCCGGCTGCATATTCATAAATAAGGGGCTTGCATGAGCCATATATGTAATTAGTTCTATTAACTAGTGACCCATCATTCAAATAATCGTCTTTTCACTTAGCACATTTTTATACAAAACTTGGGCGCGTTAGACAATATTTTATCACTGACCATCTTCCTTTCGTGTTTCCCAATCTATCATTAATTCATGAGGCAGTATTTTCTGAAATCATTATGTTGAATGTTAATCCCATGACTATAGCAATTTTTATATTTTAAGTATGCTAACAAATTACTTATAAAAGCAAGTACTATGTACAGTATTTTGGAATTTGATATTCGGTTTAGATCCTAGTCGTATTGGATAAGGTTCTCATCTCCGTAAGTTGTAATTTCTAAGTATTTTCTACTTAAGACTCCCTTCTTCTCTCTACCCATTTTTATTACTTTGTAAATTTTAAATCCATCTTTAGCAACGAAAACGTGAAGCTGAGGCTGCTGCACTTGCCCGTGCTGCTAGTGAGGAGCGTCGGAGGTCGGAAGCTGAACGTATTCGCAAGGAACGTGATCTAAATCGTAGTGAGGCTAAACGTGAAAGGCGTCAATTGCGGAGCATCCTTGTCGAACAACTCAATTACTTTTTAGATGATAAAATTGATACATCTGAAGTGGGTTCTCATCAAGTCAAAATTTTAGCCGATATGGATTTGTTATCTCAGCGTTTGTCGAATGCTCAGTAAGTCGCCTTGTTTCACATAACAATATGTTTGAGTATCTTTTTATATCCTTATATAGTGATAAGTAATAATCATTTTGTTTCATATTATATGTTTGGTGCAGTGAGACATTTCCAAACTAAAATATTGCAATATTTTTCTTCTAGTCTGCATTTTAGTTGCGTAGCACTCAAAGCAACCATCTCGTTCTAATCAGTTACCGGTATGTTTAACTTTTCTTAAAAACATAAATCTTACACCAGAACCGCTCATTCAGTGGTTCTGCTGCACAGGAATACCTCTTTAATTAGGCAGTCAACGTAGAACCTGGTACTTATGTCAACTTGGACCGATGTACATATCCCATTAGCACAGACAGGTGAAATTTTCAAACCAAATCCCGTAATAGTAGGAGTAGTAACAGTATCGGCGGTAAGTGGAAAGATTGGGTATCTAATATACAATTCGAAAAAATATAAATTACTGAAATAAAAACAAAAAGTTTTGGGGAATTCAAAAGCTCAGAATTTGGGAAAAGACAAAGAACGAGTGCACCTGCACCTGCACGATTTTGAGCCATGTTCTTCAAACTCTCCAACTATTGGTTGCGATAATCATGCGAACCCCAACCAGATAGTTTACACCTATTAAAGTGGCTTGGTCAAATTGTCAGACGAGATAAGTTTCTGATCATCTGTCAATTCCGCAGACACCGCTGAAGCACACTGATTTTCCATAACTTTTTGGTTGAAGTTACTAGTAGATATCACTACTGTTTCTGCAGTGTTTTGATATCATATCAAGCTACCTCGTGGTGGATGCCACTTTAATAGTTGATTAACTCCTCTAGTTGTTCTTAACTTTTTCATCAGTAAGTTTCACTCTTAGGGGTTTTCTCGCTGTAGCTTTTCTATGTCCAGTAAGAAGGAGACAAATGCGTCCTAGAACTAGAGCATGATCCGAGTCTAAGCACGTGCTTCAGAATGAGGAACAGTCTTCGGTCGAGTCTCTCCAACGATAGCTTGTGACAATGTGGTATATTCCAGTCGATCGTGGAGGTCACCACGTCAGACAATTTTTCTCCCTATGTTTGAAGTTGGTGTTTGCCAGAAGTAGACGGCTACCTGAGCATAGTTGCGATAGAGGGTTGCCATTATCTGTTTTCTGGGCCGCAACACTGTAAATTCCCCCTAAGTGCCTTTCAATTTGGTTTAGTTTATCTATTTGAGCACTAAAGTCACCTACCACTATTACTGCCTCAGAGCGTTTAGCTTTTCGGAGGTTGAATAGCTTCCTATAAAATTGATCTTGAACTTCATCCGTGCTGCAGTCAGTGGGAGCGTATGCAGAGACAACGCAAATGTAACGACTTGTATTCCTATCCTTCCTAGTTCTTGTTGTCCGGTTTAGTCGGACAGCTCACAAGCGACTATCTACTAGAATCCAGTGTAACAGAGCCTGTTCTGCTTTAGAACTTAATACCATACCTACACTAGCAAAGCTGTGGAATTAGCAGTGAATTCTCCGTACACTCGAAGGATAAATCGTGTCGCTTCTGTATATTGATAAGATGAGGTCAAGTGAATGACTGTACTTGGATGCGTTTCGGAAACGCGCGAGATTCCAGAGTCCTAGCTAAAGAAGGCTTTTTTCCAATCTGACCCTAGATTCAAACATTAAAAGCCCCAACATTTAGTTTACAGAGTGGTTTCAGGACACATTTCGTGAACTAAAATTATTAGTATTGGTGGTGTGTGGTGATAAAGATATATGAGAAAGGTTAGTCGTAGGGACGGAATATTTATTAAGAGGTAAGCGATTTGATCTTCAACAAGATGATCTCGGGTGTTGATACAAGTATAAGGTTGGTTGCTACTTCCCGGTTGCTCACACCATGGAATTTTCTTTATGAGGAACCTAAGAAAGAGGTTGAATTTTAGTGGTAGTCTTAGTGACGCGAGAGCATGACCACAGAGCCCAAGAAACAACTGCTTGAAGCCGGTCGCACCCAATTTTATGGGTTGAGATTTTATCTATGATAGCTGGAATATCTCTATACTTCACATTATCTTTACGCAGACGTTTCATTCGAGTTGCGTGATTAAATAACTTGCATGTTCAAACCTAATGTGCAAAATACTTCACAAAAGTACAGTGTTTTCTAAACATTCATTAACATACTTGTGTACAAAGTTTCGAATCACATAGAATATCTATTTCGCTTTCATAATTGATACTGGAACAAATATCAGATGTTTGAATTGTCGTTAACCAGTTTCAATGTCCAAGTCCAAGTCTAAAACTGCTTGACTTTAATTTGGACAGCTAGCTCGCATCAATATCGCTTATGCTTAAGGTGTCATTACAAGCTGAGTACCTGGATCTGTACTTCATAATTAATTAATGACATAGTTATAACCGCTGAAAAAGTTGGTTACTTGCTACTTGTTATAAACCAATTAAATGCTGATATAATTCAACGCTAGGAAAAAGCCAAGACTGCAGCTGAAGATTTTAATTATTCACCAACAATATATCTACAGCTAATCATCTATCACTTCTTTGTTCAATAGTCAAGTTAAAATAAATCCAACTAGCAGTCGTTATAATTAATTAATACTGTGCAACACTAGATCAAACCGTTCTAACGAGCAAATCTAACTAGATGACTGATTTATATATTTGCTGATTCCTAACTGATAGACATTTACTAATTAATGAGTTCATGTTGTCTTTTCTTGGTCAAGTGATAAATTTAAAAATCGTTTTCATTGCTCAATGAATGGTAAATTGATAGTCTTGAAAAGAATGTCTTTTAAAAATATAAAATTTCTTAATGTATTACATGTTCAAGTAGAATATTCATTTTTTTCAATTAATACTAACATTTTGTTCCAATTGTTGTAGCCAATTGTATTTTTTAAAGCGAACTTGACATTTCTAAAGCGTATCATGATATGTATGCATATGTACTGTGTATAAAAATACATATTGTTACACTCTAAATGATGAGTTATACTTATTTACTGATCTTCATATTTTGTATTCATAACAGATTGCATGAATTAAATGAATATTTGGAGCAGGCCGATACCCCTGATAAAGCGCATTGTATTTTCTCAGCCAAGGTTTGTACCATTTTTCGTAAAATATTTTTTTTATTAGTTAATTAATGTATATACAGTTAAATAGTTTTTGACAATGATGTTATATCATGTTAACTAAACAGTCCAATCAATGAAGTCGCAATAATTGTTAAGTTTCATGAATTTCAAGTCATAGTCTGTCGGGTTTTTTTTCGTTTGATCATTATATACAACAGAAAATGTCTTATTCATTCACTGTACCTAGACGTGAAATTATCACTCTTGTGACTCATTAAAATCACAGCGTGTTTGAACCCTGTCAAAATAAAAATATGCATGTTGAAAAACTCTAAAATACCTCATTTACTCGCCTTGAACTAATACCTTCGATTATGCGTCGAGGAGTACAGTTACTTTGACTACGCTCTGAGAAATGTTAGTTCTTCCTTTCACCAACCAAATATATGGATTCATTTTAGTGAGTATGATTATCATTGTAGTCTTGAAAATGTGGGGACTAGTCACTGAATTGTCTCATTACTTCATGAGTCCTTGCATTAAGCATTTCTTGAGTTGACTACTCATGATGCACACCTGAACTTGACGTGCTCATAACAAAAAACCACCCGATTAATTTGCCAAACAATCCGTATAATCAAAACTGGGGAAAGTCTAAGTCGATCTTTTCTGTCCGGGCTCTTCACTTAAAAATTTCATGTCGTTTTCACTATCAATAATGCTTCAAGTCATTTTCTGGCTACCGGATTCCCTATAATTTTATTTCAAGAAAACTTGTACATTGTTGTGTAGAACTATAAACAAGTAGCGAAAAAGGTTAGTCTTCGTGTTTACTGTCAGTAACATTTTTCAAGATGATCTATTCTCGGTATTCTGGTGTTGAAAACCGTTATTCATTTACGGATTTATAAACCAACGACTGGTAAATGCGTTCAGTCCTCATTGTTTTCTTTTGCCAGTGGTCAAAGTAATACAAGTCACATAGTTTCAGAGGTAACTGGTAAATGACTTTATTTAAGGAATAATTCAGTTAATTTTTATTCGGCAATATAGATGATTTACAAATCTACAGTTTCTAATTAAGTAGAACTTGTTTGAAATAACATGTATCGATAGTCCGTCAGTATCTATTCTTTTGACGAGTTGACTTAAACAAAAGTTTTCATATAATAATCTGGCGTGAATATTTGCTAGGAAGAAATGGCTGTTTGTTGTATCATATCATTTCTGGAGTCATATAAAAGGTTGGTCGGAATTCATCTTTCATTCTTGTTGACAAGAATTTTTTCTGGGATTTTACAGATAAACGATAACATCCGATAATCAATTTATGTATCCTTTGTTTCGGTGTTAAATTCATGTACTATTCATTAAATGTAATTTCTTTCTAAAAAGCTACTTAGTGGTATAACTGGATTCATTTGTTATGTTTTGACATTGATTAAAATGCAAAAGACATCACATTGCCATTATCATCTCTGTAACTAAATGCCCAAAAGAGAATTATTTCATATTGGTTTAATGATGAATATTGCAATTTATTCACTTTCTCCCCAGGTAGAATCAGTTAAACACGAGCTTCAAGCAAATAATCTGCAATCGCAAACTAAACTAAAACCTGAAAACAGTCCTAGTACAGACAGCCAAACTAATGCTTCTAAGTGGACAACAGAAATGATCCAGGTTTTGGTTAAAGCAGTTAATATTCTTCCAGCTGGAACACCTAAACGGTAAACTTTTAACACTAAAACATTGTGTACAGTTGACAATACTTTTCATATTACTTATCCTAATAATGCGAGTTGAAATCTGTTTGTTAAAGATGTACTACCTTGATATTCAATACTTTAATTATGAATTGTTTTGATTAATTATCCTAGTATGTTTTGACTTGTACTAATGGTCTGATTTCCGATTAAATCACCTTGCACCCTTCTAAATCTTCACCAAATTAGGTATATAAAATGAAAAGACAAAGGCTATATAATAAGCTGTATGACCCAAAACTAAATAATAGTAATGCTTACAATTCATGCATATTTTAACCATCCGAAGTGACCCAAGTAAGAACATCCAAAGAGTTACCTTGACTGTGGGTGAATAGTGGGTTTTTTCATAACAACCTTTCCAGACTTGTATCTCACTTACTACATGATCATAATGCATCATATGATTTTTCTATTCTTGATCGATATATTAACACAGTGTGTTTCTCTCATGAACAACATTAAAAGTTTAGTTATTTAAATTTATTGAACCTGAAGTTTTGGAAAAAGTGATACTTTGGATTTTGTATTCAGGAATATAGTATAGAACATGAATGTATCTTCTTTAAGATGTGATATATTTTGGACTGACGTTTTTACTTTTAAAAAGCACTAATTCACTGAAGAAATATCTTTTTTAATTGACCCGATAACTAGTCTTTATACTGAAATGTAGAGAGTGCAACTGTGGAAGTGGAAACAGCCTATTACCTGTTTCCCAAGTGGTGTAATATAGATTTACCATTTAATAAAGAAAAATAAATGATCAATTGGTCAATTGTGATGGATTACTTATTAGATAAGTTAACAGCAGAAAATTTCATTTAGATAGCCTTGGTATTGTTTTTACGTAGTTTACGTAAATTGAGTAGAAATATGCACCAGGTTCTTTGACTATTAAAATGATTAGTGCAAAAAAAGTTAATTATTGAGTCTTACATTCATTATCCAACTTCCCTCTGTGGCTAAAGAATAGAAATTATCTACGTTTATTGTCCGTAGTGGTTGTTGCTAGAAGTGTTCGCCGTTATTTTCAGAACGCATCAGATAGTTAGCGGTGGCGACCAGTTAAATAAAATTATTTCCTAACCTCATTTTACATCTCAGTTAATCTGGATAATCCTGGTTTACTATCCCCTTAGAATGCCTCAGAATTAACTTAACGGGGTTTTCTGCCTTCTGTCATGTCGATTTAGCTGTATTAGAATGTTGGTTGATGGTGGCTAAGATGTTCCTAAAAGTATTCAGCTTATCGTTTCGACTATAGTGTTCAGGGATCAATCACTGATCCGTCTTTTTCAATGATAGTTCCACCACTTTTTAATTTGTTGGCTCTTCCCTCTCTGATAAATTTGAAATGCTTGGCATTACATCTTGCTTTTGAGTCCTCGTTTTTTGCCAACAATTAATACGTAAAAATGTCCCCGGTATACGTCGCTTCCATTCGTCACATTTACAGTCTACAATACAATTTTTGAGTTCCGATTAGACTCTTTAGCCTTCTCAAATCATTTATTGAAGTGTACTAAAAGTTACTGCTACTGTTTCATAGTAAACTAGAGGTAGCTCAAGCTGTCGTGTTCAATTTGACACAGATTTTAAAAACTAGTCACACTGTTCAAATGGGATTTTAATAAACTGGGTTTAATGTTTCATAATCTATAATCGTTGGCACTGGCTTTATTTTAGGGATGTTGCCAGCAGTAAGTTATTACTAGCGGGAATAGAAGAGAAAGTAGGATGTGAGAGCGCAGTAGTTGTGGTTATCACGAACTCGCATGCTGCTGGAAATGTTTGAACACTTCTCCAATATATTACACCATTGACTCATATTACTGAAAATCAGCACAAACTAACAGTTGATTCACTTAACTTTCAGCTATTGATTCATAGTTTCTGAACTTACCGCACTTATTTCAACATGGATAAAATTAGGGGTTCTTAAACCTTAGTACTCGAGCTTGTGATTGGTTAGCTACTTGACTATGTTCTCCAGTAAACTATGTATATTTTCAAGTACTTTTCACTAAGTACATTATTTGAATCTTAATTTATGGTATTTTTCTATTGACAATTGAAATCTCAAGCTGGGAAGCGATAGCTGCTTATGTAAATCAACATATTAGTGGTGTCGTTGTGTCTGGTAAAGATGTTTTAAAGCAAGCAAAACTCTTAAAAGAGGAAGGTAAGTCACCCTTCGTTTCGTAGCACGCTTTATTATTATATTTGTATCCGTAAACAATATTCTAAGATAAAATTACGTTACATGTACTACTTACTTGTTTGGCATACATATATAACATGGTAGAAAATAATATCTCTTTGGTGTTTACCTGGTTGTGTTCCTATTATAATGTTTGACAAATAACATTGTGTAACACATGTCTTAGATCCTTCTCTTAACCATGTTCTCTCTGTATTCTAGTGTGTATTTTCTTTCTTCACACATATTCGGCTTCACTAGGTGTAGCTTTCTCTTGAGAATCCAACTAGTTTTATGTATAGAAAGGCGGTTAATTGTGATAGTCATTCAGATGTTTTCAGTCCATCTTTCTCCTTTTTTTTATCCTTTCACAGATTCCAATTTGCGTAAAACAGCCAATACTAAAGCATTTGATTCATTTACCAATTCTGTTAAAGAAACTGATGCTGTCAAAAATGTGACAATTACAACCCAATTAGAAGGTTTGTTCTATAATAAAATTAATTTATTTGAATTCACTAGTCATTTTCTTTAAATGATTGCCAGAAAAGGAGTAATCATGATTACTCCTTTTTGTTTTCTATAACAATTTCATCTTCTGACATTGTAAACTGTATTCATACGCTATTTTATTGATTCATTAACGTCTTGTATTACTCAGTTCAATTCATTGGAATTTGACTTTTAATCAGTATAAGTAAAACATTTTAAAACTCAGTGCATTCAAATATAGATTTCTTATGCACTAAAAATAGATCAAATCGTTGTTGTCTTGCTTCCTTCGAACCATATCAATTTTTTGTACAGTTAATAACAAGTATTGATGGGGATATTTTGATATATGTCGCTCCTAATTATTCAAATTAACGTATTTTTGTGGGAATATCAGAAACGGTCTGCGGACCGGGAACAAACACTTACTGAGATATTAACTTCAGTCTTTTCAGTTGGTGATATTTCAGAAAAAGCGAATTCCGTTTTCATGTCATTCTCTAGCAAATACAAGATAGTTTTGTCAAAACCTTCAATGATCGCTTAACTATCATACTTTCAACGATTTTCTGATACTTTGGATAAAATACTAAACCTGCAGGAATTTCAGTATGGTCGGTGATATTTATTTTTCATATGTTTTGTATAACCTGCTCTTTAAAACTGCGACTATTATTTTAGATACAAATAATTGTCACATACTGGATAAAAGTCTTTTTTAAAATTGCATAGAACATAATTATCTTCATCTCAGTTGACGAATTAATTACAAACTCATGTTGTTGCACATGCGTCATGTTTGCTCATTATCAACAAATTTGTTTAAATTACTATTTTCTTCCAAATCATTAAAGTCTAAAAGCACTCTTGTCCGCTTTAACAACTTGAATGAAATACTTATGATCTATCCATTCATAACTTTCAGAACACCTTGTGCGCACTAAATAGGATCGTAACTTCGTTGAACACAAAAACTCATAGTATAGTGATTGTCGATATTAACCAATTATATGTAATTTTATGTTAACCTTCCTCTGTGTTGTTTACTCTATCATTAGCTGAAGTATCTCGTCCTTGGACAGTTATTGAACAACGTGCCTTAGAACAAGCCCTCAAGACTTATCCAAGTAATACTGGAGATTCTGGTTCGGATGATCGTTGGCAACTTATTGCGAATGTTGTCGGTACTCGTACTCGACGTGAATGCATAATAAGGTGTAAAGAGTTAGCAGAACAGGTGAGTTTACCCTTAAATTTAAAAGTTAGATACATATCACTTACTGTGAAGTACGAGTTCCCTAATAGTTATCAATATGCTTTTTTAATGAACGCCTAAGATACATATGATTGTAACTATACCTATGTACAGATGTATGTATCGTTTGCAAAAGGCTTAAAACACGATCTACATTTTCTGATCCTATCATAATAAACCGCCTCAACTCAAAAACTCTTGATTTATAACATTACTGTAATATACAGTAATATTTGTATACATATACGAAACTATTGAACTAATCAATGTAGTTTACGAGTCACGGTGACATAAATAAACATAATAAATAGAAAGTACAAGTCGATAGTGTGATGACGGGTGTACCAGTTGCGATAAGAATAACAAAGGTTTGAGTTCGTGTTTCTTAATGGGAAATAGGTCAGTGATTTCAAAAATGTGGATGCTGAAATAACATTCATAAAAACTACAACATGTAATAAGAAGTATTCAGATAATTGGATAACGAAGCGTTTATTTGAAAATCAAAGGGGAGGTGAAAAAAGTCAACGAACAAAGTATGGAAAATAATAAATGAAATCTCTTGTTAAGGCCAATTAGGCCAAGGAAGAGATAAAGGTGTTACAAATCTCTTATGAATATAAAGACTTGGATTGTTAGCTCGAATTTCCAAAGCTTCTGCTTTGTGTAAGAGACAAGATCAAACCCCATAAGGAAAACTAGTAGAAATGCGATAAATCACAGGAAAGTAGCGATATCAGGGGGTACTAAGAAACCTCTCTTCTTGAAGCTGGAATTCGACGGAAATATACCTGGTAACATGCTACGGGATAAGCTGACTACAGTAATGAAGAGAACCTTTAATACAGCTAACTTCTATCTCTCGTTTCCGACTTGATCTATGGAGATTCCTCAACTAAAAAATAAGTCATCTGGTACTGCCACATCCATGTGTATCTATGAATACATCTGCTCTTGTGGAGTAAGTTTTATTTTGCGCACAACCAGACAACTGATCCAAAGAGTTAGTGAACGCCTCCCTTCGTAGTATCGTTAAAACAATATGCAGCTCTGTTATATCTCACTTGATCGATAGTGGTCATGTAGTAGATAGAAACAAGTCATTTAAAGTGATTAGGTAGGTACACATTTATCATAATGGTTCATAGTCAAAATCGCCCAGAAATAAAATGGGATGAAGACAGGCCGTTTTTGACTTATTGATTTTTCTAGTTATATAAATTGATGTTCGTTTATAGAAACGTTTAAGTGTTGAATTGTTTCATTGAGTAGTATTACTTTTTTCTTTGTTCAACTTTCATCTAGGTTCGCGCTAAAAAGGCTGCTTTGGCTGCGGCCAAGAAATCTTGAACTTCGTCCCAAACAGTTGCTTGATATAGTCACGGAATTCTTCCAAAAAGAGATAAAACTATCTTTACACTGTTCGGTTTTAACGTTTTAGCAAACACAATCAGTTACATTAGACAAATGAAGTAGGAATAACAGTTTCAGATGTTCATTATTTCGTTTTAATCTCAACTAAACTGTTTAATGTAATGATAAACTACCAAAGTTGGTCAATTTATATGTAAATTGCTTTTCCCTATATACAACTCATAATCAGTTATACTTGTTGATCCTATCAACATCCAGTGTTTTAAAATACTAACTATTCTTTGATACATTCGTCTTTTGTATTAAATATTTAGCCTTTTGAGCTTTTATTGCACCATTCGTCTTCTATGTATTACTGCTTAGTAAAAATACTACGCATGAAAATGTGAAAGAAGCAACTGTTTTTCCCACTGTTCATTGAATTTTTCTCGTCAACTACTTTGTAAATGGATTATGTTTGAACGTTTTATCCATTGCCCAAATATCACATATCTAATCTATCGAAGTATATGCACAGTTCATCAGGTAATTTATACTATTATCATCACTAATAATGCATTCACTGATGTAAAGAAACAAGTAAATCCCCACAAAATATCTGATTCTGTAGATATGTTCATCTGATTAAAGTTAATGTTTGTAATTTCCTTTAAGCTGTGCACTAATCAACGTAATATAAGTAGCAAGAATTTGCTATGCAATTGAAGTACCATATAATTAACTTCAGTTGCAACTCATCTCGATGCTTTTGAATATCACATCAACATTCCCTCTAACCAAACGTCTGAAAGATGCTATATTTCGGTTCTCTACTATAAAAGAAATTATGTAAGCATGTTAGCCACGTAGTACGAACGTGCGTCTTCCTCGTAAAATACCTAGTTTTGAAATTGTCAAACTTTATGGGTTTCTTGATGATTACATTTTTTATAATGTACCGAGATAACTTAGTATCACGGTAACACTATCTTTCATCCAATTTCCTATCGTTTTTCTTTAAAGTAGATTATATTGCTAGATAGGTTTAACCTATGAAAATAGCCGGTATAGTTCTTTGTGGTTTTATGATACATTCATATCTAACCACCGGGTTTTTGCGTGCTCCCTACATTTATAGGTTCATGATCTCAGTTAAAGCTTGAGATATCCCGGCGAATCTTGTGTTCAGTAGTATGAGTAATTTCCAAATTTACACAAAGCTTACATGAAAACTGAAAAACTTGGTAGTCGGAGCGTGTATCTGCTAACTGTCGGGAACTACTCAACTCATCTGAGCTACTGTCAACAATTCTTTTTTCATTGCATTAAACTTGTGGCCTGTGTGCCCTGCTAATGTATAGCGTAATGTTACCGCCAATTAAAGAACAGTGAATTATCGATCGGACCAATGACGCGTAAAACTTGTACGAGAAGTTAAGAGTCCTTATCGGTCCTGCTTCCTACCTAGTCCAGCCAATTAAGTACAGAACACCAATTTCAGCCACTGCGATATTAATCATTTATTTCAAACACTAGGTTTATATACCAACCAGACAGACCACATCGTACCATAAAATAAGAAACAACATTTGTACACGATTTAGCCAAAAGTGGTTGTGAATGTCGGAGGTAGTAATAGCCCGACCGTTGTTGCTACCTTGACGTGGTGGTCGGGCTTGCCCATCGTGATGAAGCAACCGAGCTATACTGGATGGAACAACCGTTCCTCATGGTCCTACCATGTCAGACAGGTCGGTTGAAGAGCGGTAAGACTAAAAGCAACAAACCCAAGGTCCGAAGGCGAAGTCGTACTGCTGACTGTACAGAGGTGTGACAGCAGTAAGGTGTTTCCTTCAGACAACCAGCATGACAGTGATGCTGCCTTCCCACAAGGAGGGGTGGGGTTAGAAAAGGTCGACCTTAAAAATGCACACCTCACCTTATCCCACGGATATCCGTCTCCGGCGGTAAGGTCTCAACAAGTACGGAGCTAACACAAAGATTACCCATAAAAAATCGTGTGTGACCAACCTCAAGCAGTTGTTCCTTGGGTACTGCGGTCACGCTCCCAGGTCACTAATACCACCTTTAATCCAATTTCCTTTTCAGGTACCTCCAGAACAACCCTTCCACGGTGTGGGCAACCGGGAAGTGATAATCGCCCTCATACCTCTAACAGCACTCAAGATCACTGTATTCATAATCGACCTCCCTCTTCACTTCCTATTATTCCTCCTACATCGACTTTCACTTCTAAACTTCCATTTTCGGCTTCCTTCCTACTTAAGTGTCACCATAGCCAACGATTCTAGTGCTCAAAACACTGTCCCAGGTCTACTGAAACCTCGCTCCAAACTACACATTGGAGCCTTCAACGTACGCACCCTATGTCAAATCGATCAGCAGGCCTCCTTGGCTAGAACCCTAGAATATCGTACTATTGATGTATGCTGTGTCTCTGAAACACGCATACAGGATCCCAGTGTGGTCATGCACTTGACCTCACCTCGGCAAAACGGAGAGCCAACGAGATACACCCTCCGTGTATCTGGTGTTTCGACGGCCAGCTCTCGTGGACTGGCAGGAGTAGGGATAGCACTAAGCATGAGGGCGGAACAAGCACTGTTAGAGTGGATCCCCGTTAACAGTCGTTTCATGTGCTGTTCGGCTGAAAATTTTAGTTAATAACTTTAGAGTTCATTCACATGAAAATAGACTAACTGTTTGAGTAGGAAAAGGCATAACCCTGGACATTCGTTGAAACTATGCTATTGGGACGAGCCTTTAGTTTTAAGCGAAAAATTCAAACATAATGTGTAAATGACAAGTGGAAATACCTTTGTTTTGCTGTCTAATTCGGTCTCTTTAGATTTCAACTCAGTTGATTAGTATTAGTATCAGAGATTGCCATTTATATATTGACTACGAAATCTAATTTCAATAAATGGGAATTACTTATTAAATCAAAAATAGCTAATGAGGACCAAACAGCTAATTTGGTCGTATTTCTAATACCTAGAGAACGTATTCTCTGGTCAAATGCCATGTTTTAATTTGTTGATTAGAAACCGTCGAGCAGTAGTGATCTATGTAATACGTTAGAAGTTATAATTGTTCGACTACTTCACTCCCTATCCTTAGTTCAGGTGTTGACGCAGACCAGTGCTGAAGCAACAACTTGCATTTAGAGGGAGAGAAGCGCATTCCAAACATTCTGGCATTGTTGCTTAGTGCAACCAAAAGACTCTGCATTTTATCAGCGTCTTCACCAAACAGGACTATATCATCTGGGTATTCTAAGTCGATAAGTGTACCTCCTGGTATTTGCAATCTTATTTATGAATGCTTTGTCTAACACAATGTAGAACTTGAAAACTAAATATTTTTATGATCACATTTGGTGATTAGATTGGCATGATTTAAAGACGAATTCCCATGAGGAAAGGAAATGTTCAGCTTACAATTCATATTCTAATTGAACCCATGTTGAGACAAATGCCTCTGACTCGACTAGATGATGTACGGGTTATACGTGAATTAACTGAAGCTAAACTAGGGTTCAATAAATTCTGATCAAAGTGTAAATTTATCAGACACATTCAGATACCTAAACCTCTTTAGCTCAAGCTTTTGTGATAATTGATAGATATTGCCAAAGAATTTCAAACAAATGACAATGATTTCAATAGTTGAGATCATGACTCAATTGGAGCTAGACCACCTTGGAAGCGCTGGACGGCCATTTGGTCCTATAATAATGAATTGTCTAATGTACCCTAATTGTTATTATTTCTCGAACTAACATCAATCTGCGATGGAAATTTTCTTCGGATGTAAGACATATATACAGATTTGTTTTAATAATCATTCTAATTATTTTGTAGGTATAGAACAACAAACTAATATGAAAATCTCTACTGAGTTCATTTATCACTTCAATTGCTGTATACCCGAGTTTTTCAGTTCGTGAGGAAAACGATCATAATTTATACTTAAGGGTTTTAATCATCTTGTTGTTGATAATTAGACAGGAAACTTTACCAGTCTGTATTGGTATATGTAAACTCTGAGCCTATGCTTAGATGTAGTTTATTGGTACAAGTTTTAGTTTGGATTGTAAACGTCTGCCAAGACCTGCACTTCATCCATTATATTTGGCACTAGCCAGTCGGATTTACCTGCATTATCATTGTTGTTCACATTGAAACTCGGACACAGAAAACTCCTCTTCAAACCTCAATCTGTTATCCTCTAAGTTACTGAGTTCAGGTAGCCGCTAATTTGTTCAATGGACATGATGCTAATTCGTCAGCGTTTGCGTTATCCAGTTGTTGACATTCAAAAAACACCAGCCCTAAACAAAACAACTCTCATCTTAAATCCTACTCCTAGCAAATATACTAAACTAACAATAAATAACTGGATAGTGAACCGTCGGAAACATTTTTAAATGCTATCTACTATAAACTCGTCGAATAACGAATTATCACTGAAATGTTCTTTATTTGGAATAATGAAGGACTGTGTTGATTTTTTATGAGATGGAAGAGTAATGATTTAGAGAATATTTCCCTAGTTTAAGTCAACTTTCGGATATCGAATAGCATCAAATTTAAATTTATTTCCAGAATCTTAAGAAATGTTAAAGCTGATATCTTCAAAATGTTTTGTTTGTTATGTTGGAATAGCTTATTACTTTACTCGTAAAACGAGGAACCACTGCAATTCACACGACATGAAGTAACAACACAAGGACTAGTACAAGTGAAGACCTATTAAACGCAAAATACGACAACCCTAATCGAGAATACACTCCTTTATGTATTGATTGTATATCCACATTTTGCATATTAATTAGAATAAAATCATATATATGGAAAATACCCAGTTATAATAAATCATGTATTGCATGTCATGCTAAGTTAATACAAGAATATCATACTCAAATAAATTACTAGTATACTCAATAAAATATCACACTGGGAAACAAGACAAATACTGCAATGAGCAATTACCACAATGAATTAAAACGAAAGTGATGTTGGACAGAAATCATAATGAAAATTGCGATCTCACTATTCCATTCTGTTATATTAGTTATCAGTGAACTTCAGATGCTGATACACTAACATAAAATCTGTCAGATGGCTTCGAAATCTACATCCATACAGAAAAATAAAATATGGATTGTCGATATGCTTTTAATTGTCAAAATCCTACGTTGCGAGTTCAGGCTGTTTAGTTTCTCGCATTATTCAGCAGGGGATGCTTTCTTTTTACAAAAATCACACTGACAATGTGCGAGTTGCTTCACAAATCACCTCAGTAAACTTAAATTCCCTTTGTCAAGCGCGTTCGTGTAGCAACAATGGTACCGTTTAATTTGGGTAATTTTCAGTTGTATAGAAAGTCAGATGTATATAAGTTTCTTAACTGACAGTTAAAAATGATAAACAGGTTGATTTACAATACCTTTTTCAATCTTTCTAGTATACCTAGGTCGTCATGATACCCAACAAAAACCAGAGCTCACTGAGGCTGAAATGCTTCCATGAATTGAATACTCAGTAATTGTCAATGTGATAGTTTACCTCTTAGTAATAACTGTTTTTTTTATTGATTTAAAGTTTAACCTCTAGTATGGGGCTCTCGCTTGAAATAAGGTAGCTGGCATTAACGATTAACTTACCTATGATAGAGACCAAGCAACATGACACAAGGATTTCTACAGATTGATTCAATCTCGATATGCTAATGGAAAGCAATGTAGTGTGCAGTCATTTGACACGGAGACACCGCAACTTGATTGACAGAATCCCCTTAGTATCAAGGAGTTAATATCAACATTAAGCGATCGACTAGACAAGGATGACGTGAAACATCGCTAAAGTAGCCGAAATACGTGGCACTCGTCCGGAAGAGGACTTATGGTGGGCATTCATGGTGTTTCAGAAATTCACATAACAATATTCCAGAGCTAAATGAACAGATTTGATCTCGAACTTCTCGGTAACCTTGAGGAACTCGAAACTCGTATAGGCGTACATAGTAACCATGTTTTTTTCATCCGCTTTTATCATCTACTTTCTGAGTGCATAAAAACGGATATATACTCAGAACTAGTTTTAGACCCTATCACGCTTTGATTTTTGTGTTCTTTATCAACGGTTAGTCAAATAGCGTGTCCCGACTACTGGTCATACTATAGTCTCGTTTATGCTGCTCACTGATTACTAGGTTCTTATCATAACCTATGGATCTTAATGGGTACATGACTACATTTCCAATACTAAGCCGAATAGGGAGTTTATAGTCAACTAACCTGTAATTTATGAACTGAAATAGAAAAAATGATTGATGTCGAAAGACAACTCAAAACTAGAATATGGGAAATGTCACTTGTACGGTGGAAATCCATCACGAACATACAAAAACACTTGATACTCTAACCTCTCTGTTGACGAAGCCTTCAAGATTATATCAAAGTCAACAGGACAAAATCCGAACGTTAATTTCTGGCTATATTAAGATATTTGTGATCTTCCGCAAAATCGTCAAACGTAAAATACTTCAGTTTTAATCCATTTGTAAATTCCATTTATTTTGTACTGTTTCATTAAGATGTTCCGATTGTTGTGCATGTAAAAAATTCTACTGTACAGTTTACGATGAGGGACAATTTATTTATTTGATCACATTAATATTGGTACATATGAGCAACAAAGCGCCACACAAGTCACTTGTTTTGTGTGGGGGTTGTGATACTGCTTTGATATTGAAGGAATTAGATTTTTAAGCGGCAAACAAATAGAAAGAGATGAAGAACAGTGCTTCCTGTAGTTTTGTAAGGAACCTAAGATTTAGTCAGTCTCATCTTAATTTAATCTTGTAATTGTGTGCAACCATAATTAGTAATAGAATAACCGTTTTTGCCTTGTTCTGAGACTCAATAGATAAACTGGATGGGAGAATATAGTCAGGATACTGCAGTATTTTCAGTGCACAAGCAAATTAGTGTAAGTCACTCACGAATGAATTGATCGGAGCTAAGCAAGACCATCAGGAAATGGAGATTCAGATTTTATGATATAATTTACGACTGATAGCGCCGTACTTGCATGCCGCATTAACAAGATCGTATTAGCACTTTTGAAGACAACATCAATCTGACCCTATCACTGACATTGCAACTTGGTAATTTTCAAATCTAAAGATGCTCTTGTGCTCAAACAGCCGTATAAGTTAACTCAGCGTCTAGCAAGGACACATGCGCCAGCTTTTCGAAATCTCCAAATGGTTCACATATAAGGAACACAGTATCCAACTACTGCTTCCAAAAAAATTCTTAAGTGGACTGTCATAACAATTATGGAATGCCGAATGCAATTAGTGTCATGACTAACTGCCCCCAAATGCCCTGATACAGCCGAGAGTGGGAAGAGTCCGCTCTCCCTCTCCAAATTTTCTCACATGGCCACGCGTATATAGCCTTTATCAGGAAAGTCCTACTCATCGCCTTCTCGTGGCGAAATTGAGAGGACAAAAGCGAATGTCCGGAGCTTTACCGTGTTGGTGGATATGGAGGATCCACCTAGGGGAGTTGAAAAACCCTGATTCCAAACCAATAGTGCATATGGGCTCCAGGATCCTGAAGGAACAAATGGCGCATGGACCAATTGTTGGTCACCGGCTACCATGGGACTGCTTCTTCTCACGATGCTTCACTGCCTTGTGGATCAGACCTTCATGCCGAAGGCTCCAGGTGTGGCCTCCTAAGAAAACTACCTGCTTCGGTTTGGGCACCCTAGCAGTATCACAGCCCTCTCACATATCGAACGAGATCTGTGTGGCGCATATGTATTTGATGCCTATGTGTTAAAATAAAGTAAATAAAAATAACTAACTATGCTACACAGTACCATATAGAACATTGCAAACAATTTATAATGCTTATGCACGAGTCAAAGTCTGTCAACACATTAGTTTTAGTAATCAGTCACGCTGTTTAAGAGATTTGTTGGAATACCACTGTCTCTAATTAGTGAAGTGTCGCCTCTGATCATGTCGGTGTATAATCATGAACGAAAACAACTGCAGGAAGAATAAAAGTAGTCATTTTAAAAATGTATTACAATCTTTGGATCACTATTAATCTCTAACTGTTAGCTTGGCATGCCAAAAATCAAACATAAGATTGCTGTTAAGAGAAAGCTATTCGCGCATGTTCTACGTCGCACGAAGCAATATGGTACCAAATTATACATTGCGGATGGTCACTGAACCAAAGAAATGCAATATCAACAAACAAAGACCATCGGCTACAGCCGTCAGCTATAGATATATAAAGTTAAGCAATATACCGGGCTTGATCAATACGACAATCAGTAAGTAGGTTGAGCAAATGCAGTAGTCATTCCTCGATGAGCGCCACCACGACCTGGATGAGCACCGAAATTACCGCCACCACCCCGCTGACCGGTATTGCGTCTTGGACCACCGCCTAATGGGGAAAAAATGAAAATGTCTGTAATGTATGGTACATATAATAAAAGCAAACATTGACAATGTTTAATGAATTTTGAATATTCAAAAAGCAATGCCAGGTGTAGAAAATCATTCAAATTTAATTATATATCTGTGATACTAAATTTAACAAATGTACACTTTTTGAAAAACTCCTACATTATAAACAAAGTATCCATCCGAATATTAGCCAAAGGAAAAGAAACGTACTTCCACGACCTCGATTTTCATTTGGAATGCGACTACGTGATCCAACTTTGGAATTTCCACGCGCTAAATTCGAATCAAGTTGTTCGGACTCACGAGAGTTTTCATCCATTATGCGGTCGATCTTTTTAGAGTTTATATTATCTACAACTGCTGGACGACTAAAACCTGCATGTACTTGGCCGGCTCTCCGAACAGAATCAGCATATGAAATTGGTTTGTGAATATTGCTATTTCCCTCATGCTCATCCTGAGATAATATTGATTTAAAAGACGTAGGTTGATTGACATTTTCTGATGACAAAGATGATGAACTTCTTCCGAATAATTCAATTTTTGAATGTTCCACTTCTGGAATATTCAAAACATATTGTTGGTCTATCCTTGTAACCAATGAAGGGTCAATGTTATCCTCGATATTATGATTACTGAAACAAGAAACGTTTGTTTTATTTGGTAATTGATTAACAGGCATAACATCTTCGAAGTTTGCTGGAGGTTCGGGCGTGATGTGCGAATGAGTGACTCTAGAAGCCTGAAGCAAAAGTAGCGAGCTTAACATTAAACAAGTGAAGCTGTTTACAAAAATATACACAATATATAGAAATATAATAAAAACAACCGCCAAAAAATCGAGAAACTGAGGTGATACTCATGATTTCACGAGTCATATTACACATCAGTTTATTCCTTAAAGGTATGATATCAGCTAGAGACTTAGCAACACAAAAGAGTACTCGTTTACATTGATAAGTACACATCTACCGTTGGATATGTCAAGCAAACGTATTTGTCAACCAATAACACAAAGCTGATATCATTTATTGACCAGTAGCTTAAAAATGAAAACCACGAGATTGTTCAAAATAATATAATATATAAGAAAACAAACCACACCGCACGCGCACACTTTACGAAAGGAAGGGACAGTAGAAACAGACTGACGATTAATAAAGATCTGACATTTATAAATAAGACCTTTGTCATCTGATTTAAGAAACACAGTGGTATTTTTCCTGAGTATATTTTATAGTATTGGTCGTTAAATTACGAATCAAGACTACTGTTTTTAATTTAATTAAATTTATTCAGAAGTTTGTCATCTTTACTTTTGGAGTACAGATACAAAGGGCAATGGTATTTTCTCCTCGTTGAGTATATCTTTTAGTATTGTTGTATCTAAAGGTGCCCAAGTATTTTGTAACTAATGAAGTTAGACTTTTTATTGTTAGGTAGTTATACAGAAACCTTTGTTCTTTTTTGTTTAGTATCTTTCACCTAACAGGCCTCAAAAGACAGTTATCTAGAAGTCAATTTTCGCAGTTTTTTCTTCCTGTGGGATCACAAAACAAATTTATGACGCAAACAAAACATCGATGTGGCAGACCCGCATGCTGTTTCCCTGTTGAATATGGGATGCAATGTGACATCTCTAATAAGTAGTATCACAATGTGTGCACCGACAGCATATAGAAGGTGCTGAATACTATTATTACGTTGACTGTGCAAAGCATTATGTTCTACAAAGTCTGCAGATTCTTAAGCTGCTGAACATAGCTAGAAAATTGCCCTCAGATAAACAGGCAGCAGTAGATGAGCAGAATTCTAATTTTGAGGAAATGGTGAGAGTTATCATGAACCCGGCTCTGGATTTGAATGACACCGTAGAGGTGGGCACCACTAGGGAAGCAGAAAACAAGCATACTGATAAAAGCATTGTTACAAGGAAAAGGAAAAAACACGCTAAGAAATTAATTATAGACAGTACTAATGTATGTGAATCTATGGTTTCAGTTCCAGATTCACACTATGGGGGAGCAAAGTGTACAGGATATGATCAATAGACAAAATAAGGTAAATGATTGGTTTAGTCACACCCAGAAAAAGAAATGTAAGAGAACAATGTGACCTTATGTGTTAGACGCCATTTGGAATCGAATTTCAAGGAGAAAATTCAGGAATTAGATTATTATAGCGTGATAAGACGGACCTCGCTAAAAAAGAAACAAAGGCTCGATTTGAGCACGACCCCAGTTTCATATAAGCAAGCTACTTGAAAAGAAGTCTCAGGAGTTAGCAGCTGTAAGTTTTATAGAATAGGACATGTAGATTATGCAAGTACTCAGAAAAGCAGCCTCCTAAAAGTTACCTTTGCTTCGGCTTAAAGAAACCTAATACTGAGAAACTCATTCAAACTGATCGGATACGAATATACGTCGGTGATCTCAGCCTGGTTGACTGTATTAGACGATCAGCAGAAGTACAGATGAGAGCCGCCGAAACTGAAAATCCCATACTTAAGGATTTTCAGATCGTAAAAGTTCGGAGCTAAACGATCACCAAACTACTGTGGGTGGTAAGGGAATGTTGTCCACAGAATTGAATGTGTGCTATACAAATGCTTGCAGCCTACTAAATAAAATGGCGTAGCCCAATACAATGGCAGATACAGAAAAATCATGTCATCTTTGTCTCAGAAACACGGTCAACATAAGTGTTTGATAATGAAATCCAGTTGACTGGTTTTTTTCCAGGAGGGGAAATGAGGTTATCTTGTAAACGAAAAGTACCTTGACCATACGAGCTGTTGAGATAGTGGTACATGATTCAGGGACATGTGAACTGGTGTTGCAGGTCGAAATGTAGACGACAAGATACTGAATTAGATGCGGTATACCGCAGCCCAGGATGTGTAGATGACTTTTTCCTAAGCAAACTCAAGTCCTAATTAAATAGGAGTGAAAACTACATAGTAGGTGACTTTAATGCACAGTATAAAAACTGGGTAAACTTACAAGTATGGTCAGTGACGTCATTTGCTGGCATACTTTTAGAAACCTCAATCGCACTAGCTTTATTACAGCACTTTAGAGACTCAATCAGATACGTCTACATGCACTTTGGGGCTACAAAAGCACAGCATAGAAGGGCCTGTACCCGTGGTCCGGTCTCACAAGGATCTTGAGGTGTCAGTGAATCATGATCTTAAAACCACGACCCATTGCCGGGAGGTCGCAGCTAAGGAGTTCGGAAGATTATGGTCTTTGAGACGGACATTCAACCATGTTAACTACAGTACACACGTTAGTGAGAATTAAGCTTGAGAAATGCATTCAGGCTGCAAACCTCTGTTTGAAAGATGACTCCGATATCCTGGAAGAAGTACTGAGGGCAGCTACGTATGCAATTTTAGGACTCGGAGATCTACCATACAAAGAATGGCTTGAAAAGCTAGACCTTTGTACTCTGTGCTATCGCAGATCAGGTGTTCTGATTTCTATATAGAGATATGTCCTCTTTTTCTTTCCATTAGATCGAGGCATCTCAGAGGACATAGCAGGCAAGTAGAAAAACCAAGAACGAACAAAATACCCGTAATACACAGGTTTTTACACAGAGTCATCAGTATTGGAACATAACACTCAGAGCAGTGGTGTCCGCACCTTCAATGAACTCATCCAAGGAAAGACTAGACAAACAGAAGCATACTAGGAAAGTTATAACATGGGCCGGCGAGACTCTAATCTAGGGACGAGCCAATCAGAAGCGTTTGAGCAATTTCAAGGTCACGGAGCCAAGTTAAACGCGCGATGCTAACATACGATCGGTTTACAGCGAATTTTAGAGAGTAGGTGATTAATGAGAGGTTACAATAGATGGGACGTCGATATTTAGCAAACTCAACCTTAAACCGAAATGAAACACTGTCCAGGTTCCAGACATTCTAGAGACAAGTTGAAAATTTTGTCAACATTTACGTTCAGGTAGAGGAATTATAAACATCTTCGATTCCTTTTACTCTTGAAACATGGGGCAGTGCGGTACCCAAATGTATTGAAATTTAGTCAACTACTAGGTAGATAACGGTCAACGTCTATGGAGGACGTCAAACAATGAGCCTACAGTTGCTTAAATAAAATGACAATGATGCCAGTAGAACTTTAACAAATTAATATCGTCATTCAATTTGTTGCTTATCTGTAACTAATTTAGGTCTAGACTAATTAAAACTGTTAGCTGTTAAAAAACAACTGATTAACTAAATAGTATTTAGTGACTTATACCACACTATTTGATCAACTACATTGGGTCGATAAATAGAGAATAGGTATCACCAGGCTAGTAAACTTTATTCACAGGTAAACATGATGAATAAACTAACTTATTGCTTACCTGGATGAAGTTAAACGTGCTATTGAGTGGTCGGATAACTTGATCTACCGGTTCGTCTGACGTTGTAACAGAAGAGTGCACACCGATTGTTGCGAATTCATTGTAGGGAACAGTAGTGACTTCAGCAGGACCTGATAAGCCGATAGGTGAGTTGATTTCCGAATCTGTAACAACTTGTGTTGGTTCTGGTACAATCGTCGTGCTACTATCACTAATAAGACCCATTGATTGCTGGACAAGTGGGTTAGACAGTAGTCGGAAACACAGATTGCGGACATCTTTGTAGGTCGTGTGTTTCTTCCGTAAGTCCTCTAAATCGTTTGACAGTGGAACAGGTACTGAGTTCCCACTCACCAAATTGAAGGTGGTTGTGGCAACAGCCTTAAGATCATCCCGTGCTTGTAAAAAGTTGGGAACGGAGGACAGAGCTGAAGAACTAAGTCCAGGCCAATTATCCACTACCGGTGGTGTTAATACGTCTCGTACAGCGTCTAACAACTTGAGGCTGTTTCCGATGAAGATTTTGTGACGGCTGAACGAACTGCCGGAATATCCAAGGAAGCAAAGAAACGTTCCAAGCACATATGGATACTTAAATACGAAAGTGTATATTTTTCATGTTCAGCTTCCAGTCGGGACATTTGCTTATCAACGACTGACTCCATATTCGACAAAAGATCTTTCGTCTGTGCCACAATCTCTTGCACAAACGAAATGTTCTGAACCACACCATCATAGCTTTCGACGGCCTTCTTTTGTTCCTCTTTCAGAACCTCACCTTTCTGCAGTTTTTCGCGATAACCATCTAGCTTACTCTACTGAAAATAATGACACAAACAAGATTTACCTTTCTTTTTCCAAGATTTCTTTGTCTACGTTCAAGATTAGTCAGGAACTGTCTAACCAACTCACATGGAGTACCACACTCAAGCATGCCTTAAAAGCTGAACACAAATAGCACAAAACCCTCCAAAGTACTGATTAAAACGACAAGCCACTGTAATATGTACAATATTACGTTGTTTGCACTTGTAAATAGCTTTCACTAGCTAATCGGCTTTGTTTAAACGATACCTTGCTATTGTTAGTAAAATTGTAGGTTGAAGTCTATACCCACAAAGAAAAAACCAATGTTCTGAAATTCATCCTACTGAGCAACAACCAAGTCATTCTTGATGGTGAAGCTGTGGAAGAGATGCAAGCTTTCACATTCCTGTGTGTGTCATTGATAAACCAAGATAACCGGGTGCAAATGAGAAAGCATGAATTGGCAACGCATGGGAAACAATTCTACATTTGAAGAACATTTGAACTCCAAACAACTGTCAGACAACGCCAAAATCAAAATTTTCAAATAGGAAAATTGAAACAGTTCCACAGTATGGAGTTGGAAAATTCGGAACTACCACAAACATCAACAAAAAATTACACACAATAACAAACAGCTGACTGCGAGATACTCCACATTCACTAACAAAATCTATCAGCACTAACCCACTGAAACGGCAAATGAATCCTGAAGTGAATAGTCCCGTAAATCCTTGACATTGAGGCTGACCTCATTAGTTTTCCTGAACAGGCCCCAGAATAAAGCACCTGGTAAAGCATACTCATCTGCAACGGTGGTAAATGTGGGGGGAGGGGAGGACCAAGTTCGTCATTAACTGAACTTGAAAGATGTTTAAGACTATTTTGCAAAAAGGCTTCTTTTCTATAATGTGACCTCGCAGTTCAATTTTTAGTAATATAAGTCATTGTTCTTCAAGCCGTGTTCACCACTGGCTATAGTCTATGATGTTGTTTTGAATATTTCCCGTAAACAGGTAAGCAGTATTTACATGTAATACGTGCCTGACGACCACTGTGCACTCCATGTTATCCACCATTTGAATTAACCAGTCAGCCTAGACCACACACTTCTCCACTTGCCGACTATCTTCTAAGAATATCTTTCGCCTGCTTCCTTCTTGAATTCTGGTTTGAATGGGTTTTTGATCCTCGAATACAATGGCGCTGTTAACGATGGCATTACTACTGTGGTAGGGAACAGACCAGCCCCAGATGAATAAAAAATGAGGAAAAGACACTGGAGGTGGGTGTACCACAATTTTTAGGGCCAAAACATAGGCCACGACTCGGAATCCTTGAGGCAAAAGGTCGGGATGCTGATCAAAGAAACATTGCCACGGGATTCGAAGTCAGGCATATTTCATTGTGCTTGAGAATAATAGGGAGGCAGAGCTTGAAACGAAGGTTGTGGGAGGTCCTTCGTCGACATTCGATGCCGATATTTAATGTGATGGATGGCGTCGGTCAAACTCACAGACGTGCTCCATCTGTATAACTTGTCTTTACTGACACTAAATATATTATTCTATCTCTAACGTGTGTCCTTTACAAGAGCTAAATATTATATCGTGGACTGTTACAATTCGACGAGCCGGGGTAGTCGATGATGTGACTTCCATGTAGGATCTTGTAGATTAGATTTTCACATCATGTCACATCTACAATTTTAAGGTTAGGTCTATTATTATAATGGTCTTAGTAACGAACTAGACTACAATCTTACACCTTAACGATGATCGGTAGACTGTTCGAGATCCGGTGACTTACCTGCCAGATGGTTTGGCTAGGGATGAATAACTCCTAACTGGCCCTACAAAACTATATGGATGATAAATGACTGACATACTGATGCTTTGATGGCCGAGAACTTGGTAAGAATTACATAGTGCTTTCATAAAATATTAAAATCATACACTAAATACACTATTTGCACACTTTCTTTCAGTTTCCAGTACACCTTTATTCCTAAAATTCGTTTGGTATTCCAACTCTCTGTTTCTTTTTGTCATCTTCAATTCGATCTTCACACACTTCTCCTCGTAGGCACTCCACTTCCAACTGGTGCCGCATACTACTTATATTTGTCAACGTTAGGAGCCTACACCATAATACTAGGTATTATGAATAGGAAACCATTTTTGGCATCGTGTATCTTGGCATCAAGCATGAAACTGCAGAAATGTTGAGTAGGAGACCTTCCGGACTTTATTATGCTTGTTCTCTAAGGATTCTGATAGTTGCATGCTAGAATTTAGAAAGCCTTTTTACGCCTTAGGAGACTGTTTGAACATTGTGAACTAGTCATGTGGTCAGCGTCATGTCACTCGTAATGATGAAGGCACAAAGTACCAATGATCATGCGAAAAATATATGGAAAAATAAAAACAATATCACGGTATGTAAAAACAAAGATTGAAAATGATACATAATGTTCCTACAAGGGACAGGCTCGCAGTTTACGGATGGGTGTGCCAGATCACGTTGGGCTCACCACTAAAGACGCCACAGGTATTCGGATTTTGACGACGCAATCATCAGAAACACATCTATTATCGAAGTATTCCATCTCAGTCAAATCAGAGAGTAGAAGTGAAGAGGTCCGAAGTTATATCTGACAGGCTATCGACATCTCGAGAAGCCACTGGTCTTAACTGGCTAACGGTTGTAAGAGATGGACAACACGTCGTACCCACTAGTGATCTGGTGTGTGTGCATTACGAGGCGCCTTCAGTTAGGTGAGTCCAGTAAAACTAATGCGGTCAGCATTAGTCGCCGAAGACTTACAGATCTATTTATTCAAGGATTTATTTACCACTTCAGACTGAAGATGCCACAGGTATTCGGAGTTTGACAACGATTTAACCAGTAATACCTAATATGAATCGTACCCACCAAGTGAAATCAAAAAACAGAAGCGAGGAGGTTCGAAGATATATTTGATAGGCTAACAGAATATCGAGGATCGTCTGATCTAATCTGGCTAGCGATTGCAGGGGTTGTTGAGCACGGCGTTCTCACTCGGGATCTGGTGCGGATGCATGACCCAGCGCCTTCAACTAGGTGAGTCCATTACAATTAATGTGGTCTGCATCCAATATCGAAGACTTACAGAGCCATTTATTTTGGTAATTTATTTACCGATACAGATCACTCCCCCCCTCGTGGAGAAGTAATGACCCTAAGACGTGGCCAGCCAGAAGTTTAAACCCAACGAGTTTTGTCGTTGATAAACACTCTTCTGATAGCTTGCTAGGCTTAACAGCGTCTGGTCTTCTTTCCTTACCATAAGGGACCATGAAATACAATATAGTAAAAAAATACTATACAAAGAAAATTTCGGTTCCTCGTAAACCTCATCGTTCCTTTTACCGTCTTTTCCAGCCGTCCAGGAAAAGAAAATCAGAATACGTAAGTGCATGTCGAAATAAACTCGTAAGGGTTTTAAAACACAAAATGGGCGAAAAAGTGTAAATAACGTAAAATGGAATTTCTACAATTGTTTTTTGTAAGTTTTTTTTTAAAAACATTTTAGTACACATATTAGCCAGATAATAAATATATATAACTATAAGCATAGAAAAAATTTTTTAGATTGTATATAATACCATGGAAAATCGAGATGAAGCAAATTGTTAGCTAGAGTTTTACGTGCAATAAACGTTCAAATGGTCTGTTAATCATACTCTTCTTCCAGAACGCGTTGTTTTATGTTTATTTTCAGATACTGTCGAAGTATCATCATGCGTGTTGGCTGTCGGATGAGGTATTATACGTGTAGGAGCCGAGTCGTGCGATTGTACTGAAGGAAAATCAACGTAGATAGGATTTCCTTCTAAATACGCTGCCTTGAGGCGATCGATGCTGTTGTTGGTTCCGCTCTGATCGATTATATAGTACTTAGGTTCGCGTTGAAGAACTTTGAAGGATCCTTCGTATGCTGATTCGATAGGTCGTCGATGTGAGTCTCGATGAACGAAAACGTGTGTACTATGTCGTAAGTCGGGTTGAACGAAAACATCAGTTGATTGCGGTCGAGTGGAAACAGCTTTAACCCAACGCATTGCGTCTGTAAGCCTGTTCATGTAGGAGGTTAGATCCATGTTCATTGAAGAGGATGAAGGATCAACGAATTCTCCTGGAAGTCCAAGTGTCGTTCCATAAACGAGTTGAGCTGTAGTGTATCCAATGTCAGCTTGGACTGCATTGCGAATACCTGGTAAGACGATTGGAAGAGCGTCGGTCCAATGTGAAACGTTCGCAGCTGATAGTGAAGCTCCTAGTTGTCGGAGAAAACGTTCTACCCACTCGTTTACTTGTGGGTGGTAGGTGGTCGTTCGGAAACGTGTGATTCCTAAAAGTGTGGTCAGACGACGGAAAAGTATGGATTCGAACTGTTTCAGCAGTGATGTCCTTGATCGGTACTGCTTCTGGCCATCGAGTGAAACGGTCTACGCAAGTTAAGAGAAAAGAGTATGTATTTGAATCTGGTAAAGGTCCTACCAAATTCAGACGAACATGTTCGAAACGAGCATCGGGAGTTTTGAAAGAGCCTAAGGGACATTTATTGTGTCTGATAACCTTAGATTTTTGGCAGCTTGAACAGGAGCGTGCCCACTTCCTCACGTCTTTATTCATACCAGGCCAGCAAAACCGTTCTGCTATAAGTTTGATGGTTGCACGAACACCTGGATGGGAAAGTTCGTGCAACGTATTGAAGACGTTGAGCCCATAACGCTTCGGCACGATTGGGCGATCCCTACCTGTAGATGTGTCACACAGTAAGGTTTCCTTACCTGTTCACATCTGTTTGATGCGTAGCTTGATGTTGTAGACGATAACTCGTGCTGAAGATCAGTGTCTTCCTTCAAGGAAGTTATTCGAGGCAAGGCGTCTGCAACTAAATTGTTTGCTCCAGAAATGTGTTGGATGAGTAGCTATTTATTATTTACGGAGTTGTTAACCCATTGTTGTAAGACTCCTCCGATTGCTGAGTCGGATGCATCTACTGCGATACTAATGGTTGCTTCAGTGTCCTAGTAAGCAAGCATTGTTGCCTGAGTGATAGGTTCCTTAATTGCGGAGAATGCTTTTCGCGCGGTGTCGTCCCAATTGATGGATTTCGCATTTCCACGAAGTTGGTCTGTAAGAGGTTTCATAAGTAACGCGCATTTTGGTATGAATCATCTATAGAAACTTACCAGGCCGTTAAACGTGCGTAGTTGCTTGATGGTGGTCGGTTCTGGGTAATCCAGAATGGTCGCTACTTTGCTTCTAAGGGTCGAATGCCTTGCGCATCTATAGTGTGTCCCAGGAAGTCTAAGGAGTCAGTTCCGATTTGGCATTTCTGAATGTTTACAGTAATGCCATGTTTTCGTAGTCCTTCGAAAACAAGATCCGGTTGCTGGAGATACGATTCTCTGTTCAGAATCGCTATTAGGCAGTCGTCAACATAGGCATGCACGAAGTTGAGACCTCAAAAAACGTCGTCTATGAACCTTTGAAATGTTAGGGCAGCGTTTCTTAGACCGAAGGACATTCGCAAAAATTTGTGGAGTTCAAAGGGAGTTATGATAGCTGTTTTCGGTATATCGTCTGTAGCCATAGGGATTTAATTATACGCTTTAACCAAGTCGATTTTCGAAAAGACAGTTGTACCTTTCAAGGTAGCTGTCAAATCATGAATGTGAGGCAACGGGTAACGATCGGGAATGGTTTCCGCATTCAATCGCCGATAGTCACCAGTTGGGCGCCAATCGTTGCTGTCATTTTTTAGGGACCATGTGCAACGGAAATGTCCATGGGCTGTTTGATGGTCTTATGATACCTAAGTCTATCATGTGGTCAGATTCGTTTTTGGTCTTCGGGAGCCAGTCGGTCTACTTTCGAGAATACAGTTGGCCCTATAGTCGTGACGTGATGTGTAACGTTGCTGGTGACACACGGCAATTTCGGTTGCGATTGCTGTATCCTAGGATACTTATCGAGTAGTGGTTGATAAAATGGGTCTATTATGTGCTTCATTGTGACTGGAGATAATCTGCAACCAGAAAGTAAGTTACGCAAACAGATAAATTAGTGTTTCCGTCTACTAGCTTCCGTTTGCGCATATCGATGATTAGATTATGGTATTGTAGAAGGTCCATACCAATGATTGGCATAGAAACATCTGCAACAACGAAGATCCAGTGAATGGGTTTGTGTAAACCCACGTTCAGATAAACGTACCTTTTACCGTATGTGGCGATAGGCTTTCCGTTTGCCGCATGTAAATTTAAAACTGGTTCGTGAAGTCGGTCGTTAGAATTCACTGGAAGAACGTTAACTTCTGCGAGGTAGCGTCATCATGTCTGTGACGTATAACAGACGGCTATGTTCGCCAGCTACGGTCACCGTTAACGCGTGCTGGCTTTGAAGTTTCCCGAGTTGTTTTTCGAGTCATTGGTTTGGAGTTGAGAAAATTGTAATGTTTTCGGAAATTTCTAGAGGACTTTCCATACTTGTTATGATACCAACACCAGTCGGGATTATCCGTCTCTGGTGGTTTAGAGACAGATCGCCTACGTGAAGTGCTTCTTCACGATGTGTGTGACCGTTTACAGTCGTTACGAAATTTAAGATAACGTGTAAGGGTATTACATAATTCTGTTATGTCATTCTAAGTCGTTTGAGGCTTTTCGTTGGCTGAAAAAACCTCAGTATTAGATTTCGTGATTTCTAAGATGAGTTCGGAAGGTGCAGCCAGCATGTCTATGGTGTTGTTTTGAGACGAGACCAGTACAACTTGCACCTGTTGAGGAAGTTTGGGTAAGAAAAGTTGTTTGAATAGGCCATCATCGAAGGTTCTTTGACCAGTTAAGTTTCCGTGTTTAAGGACAAATCGTTGAGGTGTTCAGTAAGGTTCCCAAGCCTTGTTTAGGTCATTCTCAGCGTTAGGCTATCAGCCCTTGGTTTCGGTTACCAGATAGTCTTAATTTTACTCTTTTTTTATTGCTGACTTTCGTTGATTGCTTAGATTGTTAGATATAAGTGCATTCCATGTGTTTGCTATCTGGGTTCATTTTTTTCATTTTATTTACGGTTTTCCCTACTCCTGTTCACGCCTCATCTGCACCCGAAATAAATTCAAACTAAACGCGGAGTGCAATGTCCTTTCCTCCCTATTTTGTTATCCAGGACTTCGAAGTCCACCTTTTTTCATGACTCAGCTGAGCTGTGAACGACTAAGTTGAATCAAGTTTTTCTTTTTACTTGACTAGAAGTTTCGATGTAATTGAAGACTGTCAGGTTTTTTTTACTGTTGAAGTGACTTCACTCTCAGTACTGAGAGTGATAACGTCTACATTCGCTACTACTTTCTAAATTTTTAGCTGTAATTGCCTCGTCTTAGCAATCCTCTAAAAGATTGCTGTTATTTGTAAAGGAGATTTCGTGAAAAATGTGGTTCTTCCATGGAGAGTTTAAAGATATTGGTATGAAGTTTACAGAATTCACATTCTGTGAATAGTTAGTATCATTTTTGTAAAAGAGCTTTAAATAAATGAGGATTCTGACTTTTTGTCTGATTTTCACCAAAATTTGTGCAAATCTGTGATTGTTTTCTTGAAAAATTCCATAAAACTGGTCAATTTTCTTGACAGTAATAAGAATAGTAGCTCAGTATTTTCGTTGGCCATTGCAGTATGTATTTCTCTCCTGATGATATGCACTGAATATAGGATTGCTTGTATATAGGATTCCAGTCTTTGACTGCTCAGTGAAGTGACGGTTACTCAAAATTGGATTTATCCGACCATGTTTTTGATCTTTTTTTGATGGCTTCGGGGATGATAAATTTTAGAGACACTCAAAGGATACAAAATGTCAGTACTCAAGTCATTATTCAAAGTTCACAGCGTTAGTAGGAGATTGTCTTGAGTCCTATAATAATAAGATCGATCTATGAGTAGAGTCGCTCCTCAAATGATATGTTAAGGAGTCCTGTATGAATTCCCACGTTACTGTCTCAGGTAGCTCTTGCGTAAAGCTGTAACTAAAAGTAGATTAGCTATTGATTTGCAGTACTCTTTGTTAATTTTCGCGTAGGTGACTTCTGTGGTGTACAACAAAGCTGTACAGGACCAGCCTATGTGACTTTCACGACTTCTTGGTTGGGGTCCGGAAGATAGTGTTACACAGTGGCTTGTAAGGTTAGATATAGGTTGAAATAAACCCAGTGCTAACGATGCTGTAATTTTCTTTCGCTTTTATAGATGTGAGAGGTGCCACTTTAACTGAAAAGATTCTTTCTGATATTTTCTCAACTGAACTGCTCCTCCCATCATTTTTAACTTATTTACCTATTTTTGTCCATTTATTATTTTTTTCCAAATTATCATCATTCTCCTTTCTCTATCTCCTCACAATCTTGTTTTCTTATTATTTGGAGCATATTTAGTTTTCTGGCTTTTTGCACCAAATTTATGTGCTTAAATAAATAACTAAACGCACATATGTGGAAATAACCTAAAATAAAATCTCACTGTGTTATTTAAAAGCGGGACTTTCTTACATATTATGAATTACTATTAAAACACGTTTTTTCCAAAGATTGTAACAGTGGTGTCTTAGTAATAATGTGCTAGTGTTTGATGTCTAAGTCTAAACAAATGACAAATGCCATTCCTTATTCTTTTACGTTCCTTGTTATAACTCTCTTGAATGGAAGTTGGTATATTTTTGGACTCGTGTGACGTTATTTCTTCCTAACTGAGACATGAACTTGTTTTTATTTGTTCCAAGAGCTATAGTAATGCTCTCAGAATTATAGGATCAATAGTCCAAAGTATTTTCCTAATTTTACGTTAAAACCCATTATTTACCACGCAATTTGGGATTTTTGTCTGGATTGAGTAGTTGTTTTCTTTGAAAGGGGAAGATTGCAAGTAACGTTTTGCTAGGTTCATTTCCATATCCAAGATGTAATACCTGGATTCAGTGCTAAATGTAACGAATTTCTGTTTTGGACAGCCTATAATCGGCTTATGAGGTTTTGAAATAAAAATAATTCTTTTAACTCTGAAGCTCCAAACCGTATTTGTAACCACAGTGACAGGTTGAAATTCAAATCCATTGTTAGGGATCCCAAAACAAGCAAATTAGCCCAAATGATAAGTCCACTTTAAATTCAACGAAGCCCATAATCTGTTACAACAAAATCACAACTTTTTGTACAGTATAGTGATCCTTTGCGATAAATTGGAGAGGTAGGACTTTCTTGTTTTTCTTAGTTCTTAATGATTTGACAGTCATTTACCGATAGGCGTTTATGGAATTTCACCATCGAGCTTTTATGATAAATTGAGTAAGGCCAATTGTTATTCTACTTGACATTTTTAAGCTCTAATGCAGGTTTTTGATTTTTATGCTTGTAACTAGTGTGTACGCGATGTAATTCGGGAAGTGAAGATTCATCTCATTATTCTTGCTAGTTTCTCTCAAAGCACTTTTTTATACAATATTGTAGCTTTTGATTTTTAATTTTAAAGATCGATTCCAGTGATATGACTCATCCTGGTTTATCCATCATCAAGTTACCAACTACAGATCTTGTATCAGGTAACAATTTGACAGAAAGTGCGGGAGAAAAAGTCGCTCAGCGTGTCGTGTTATTCCCAAAACAAAGTAACCCAGGAAGCCAACTTATTTGGCGTGGCGCTTGTTTGCAAAGTATTTTGAGTGATGTGCCAAGTCAAAATACTCAGTCCAGTGTTGTACAGCTAGGTAACAACTTTGGAGAAACCTTACAAAGAAAGATAGTTAACATAAACCCGTTTGAAGATAAACCCTTATCTTTGTCATTGCCGTCGGTTTGGAATCAAAATCAACAAGATGCTACTAGCGATGGGATTTGTCCCCTAAATTCAAAAAACAAAAACTTGAAGAGACCTAGAAATGAATCCAATCCTAATAATCCTGAAGGTAACAGTGATTCATCTGAAGAAAAATCATCTACAAAAGTCCGAGCAACCAAACCTCGCATTCGGGCACAAACGAAACGTTCAGGTATACTACTGTTGGTGTTGGTAAAATATAAACCTCATCGAATTGCATTTTATTGTTGTTGATTATAGCTTCACTTTAACCAGAAAACATATATCATTGTGGAGAGTAAATTGCTGTATGCTGAGCTGCTATTGGTGTATTATTACAGTGTTGTAGTTACTGAACGATAGTGAAGGGATAAACAGCACGGTAAAGAGTTTAAAATATAAAACCCACAAAGTAGTCGAATAGGTTTTAATTATTTTAAAATTGTCACTCACCCACTGTTTAATTAGACACAATTTCGCATCATCGATCTCAGTTTCTACATTTTGAACCACTATAATGAGTTAAAAAGTTAGCAAAATAGGAATCATAGGAAGAGAAACGTATTTCGAAAAGAACAAACACTAAAACTTACTCATGAGGACTAAAATAATTTGATAGGAAAGTACAGGTCTTTGTTTACGGTAGTTATATCTAGTATCAAACGATACACAAAAAGCTTATGTAGTAGCTCTATCGTTGTTTGTCTTGGATGTAATATCGTATACTCGTAAACTTGAATTAACAGGTAAATTAGGGTACCACATTAATAAAAGTAGTGGATTAGTGGGTTATTTGTTAAACCATGCAACTCAGTCAATAATCTACAGGTTTGTACTCCTCCCTACCTACTTTGGTTTGGTCAGACAGACAGTATCACTTGTCATCACATAAAGTGTGACTTAAAGCTGAGCACAAAATCCTGTAATTGGCAAATCAGTCACATTAGTAATTAAATAACGGAACGTTTACTAATAATATATGCGTGTAACCTGAACAGTGAACAGTCTTAGCTAAATTCATCTGTTATTTATTCGGCTTCAAATATTTAAATGATAAGCTCGAACGCTACATTTGGCCTCAAAATAGTTAAACTACTCCTCACGCTGATGGATAAGCATAAATGCGTAACTGCGTATTGGGTGATAACTATCCACATTGACCAAAGTTCAATATTGTTGAGTAGCTATAAAAATAAAACTTAGTAATCATGGTATTCACCATATAAAAATCAGAAGGAAGATTTTACCGAATACGAGTGATAACTCTAACGACAATTCCAATACAGTAAACAGCTGCTCTCTTCTAACTTAGCTACTCCAAAAGACAAATTTTGTTAAGATTTGTTGAAAGAAACCAAAGTAAATAATGATTCACATCCAAGTTGGCTCAGTTATATATCAATTAAGTGATTATTAATAACTAAATCTTTTTAACAGAGTAATTGCCACCGAATACAAAATCTTATTAAAGTAATCAATACAAGAATCAAACAAGTAACTACAACTAGAAGCTAATGAATAAAATTCACTCGGAGTAGTGTAGTACAACGAAAATGTGTTGAAACTAATTCAGTGCAGATCACTTTAAATCAAAGTGCGAAATGAAGATTGATCTTCCTTATACGTTGTATTGAGGATATAGCATCCTAAACGCAAGGTATTTAAACTTGACGTATGGTCATTGTCACAACTACAGGGTTTATTTCCAGTTGTTTTTCCTATATTTTAAGTAAGGAATGGAGTAATACACAGTCGTCTATGGGAAGATAATTATCCTGAAATCCTGACCCAATATTCCAGTTCAGACGTTGCACTTATATAGTAACTGGTAATCCATATCAATCATGGTCAAAAGTGTGTAAACAGGGCCATTAGTACTTAAGCTTTTCTTTTCAGACAACAGCTTTAAATAGTATATTGAATGGATTTGTGTACTTCATTTTGAGAAATAGATTTACTAAATGATGTCAATGATTGTTTTCTGAATTTTGATATCTTTTAAATTTTATTGCTTTATAATTCTAGGGCGGCGAAATGCTCCAAAAGTAAGTCATGTAAAATGTTTGCATCTATCACACTACCAAGGATCTTAATTCATTAGTTAAATTAGTTATCTAAAAATACTTTTTCTACCTAACCTCAGTATATTTTGTATTTTTCGGAAGCCATTTCTGCTGGGACTGTCATTCTAAAAATGTATATATCAGTTTTGAGTCGAAATTTATTTTGGGAATTGGGTACCTTTTTATCGCATAGAAGGCTGGTTAGAAATTTTAACTGATGTGGCTGAAATCAACATTCCAGTTGTGTCGCTTCATCAATTTTAGCTATTTCTGTTAAATTTGGGTTGTCTTTTTGCACTCTTACTCTTGTTTCAGTTACTGTTAACTTTTAAAAGGTTGTGGTACCTAGTAATTGGATACTTTTGAAAATTATTAGTATTGAAGAGTAGAAAGCTCTATGTGACAAACTACCTGTTAGTACATAGGATCAGGTAGAGTGGCTTAACAATGAAAACACTTGAATTTCAACCATTGGATAAAGAATTTAAAGCCATTGGTGTTTTAGGGTTTAAAAAGCCTCCTTTCAATGTTTTACACCAAGGTCTAATGGATTAGTTTGTTTGTGGTCATTTATTTTGATTTCAGTATTTATGCTTATTTCTGTTTAAATTTTATCTCAAGGGAAATCTTTCACTATTGTGCGAGAATGATATTTCATTATTTGATACTTACATATGAGCCAAATATGCTCATTATCCTTGGGATGAGTATGTTGACTTCTGTTATGCTCCTCCGTTTATCAGTTATTCAATGTTTTATAGACAGTAAAGTATTGAGTATTTTTTTCAGGTTTACTAGTACTCTATTGACTTAAATAGATTTCAGTACAAAAACTAGTGTATATTGTTGTAACAATAAACACGTTGACATTCAGCTTTTTGTATACAGACATGTTTTGTTGGATGGTATAAATTTATCAATTGTGTGGTATAACTCTTTGTACATGAATAGAAGCAGTATATAAGATATTCATTTTTACGTTTTAAAATTCAGTTAATCATTCATGATCAGCGCCGGATCTAATGCAAAAGTACATTAGACCAAATTTCTGTACCAAATGGCGAGATGAAATTAACGGGATAATTAGCATTGAGGTCGACACAATCCTAGTGTTGGTCAGTCATAAGCAACGTGGAACCTGCTACATTTGTGGATCGGTCGAAATCAGTCATAAAGGGAAATACTAAACTTGAAGAACATAGTCTAGACAAAGGTGTAAAACAAGGGAATAATAAATATGAAATAATACTAAAACCTAAGATACAGGAGAAGATCAAGAATAAATGCGTTTGTGGCATTTGACTGATTTTGTATCATGTCATGGGGATTATACTGGAATTTCAGTTTCATCGTGGGTGATAAATATCAGTATGACGAACAGTTTACTTAACTAAATATTTTAGCAAATCATAAGCATTTTAGTCTTATATGCTTAATATGGTCATTTTTAAACATATTTCATGAGTCATTAATCTTTTTAACGGAATTATCTGTTTTATTTAGCCTGTACAACAACCCCTTCTTCTAACCTTGCGACCTTTTCATCCACCTGGAAACTTATTACTTCCTGCACTTGATCTAATGTCTAAGTTTGGTAAGTTAACTGATTTATTTGTGAACGTATTTCTTACTTTGTGTAGCTGTTTTTTCCCTTAAATAAATGTTCCAATTAAACTTACTATCTATAGACGATTCAAAAGATTCCATTAATTACAAACTAACTTCGCCCAGTAGTGTGTTTCGGTTTGGATGTGTTGAGTGAAGATCCTATGAGTCTTTTTCCTTTTATTCTGAAAAACATTGTTAACCTTAGTCAAGGTTTTTTTGAGTACCTGTGCCATGTGAGAGAAGTAAAGCTGAATTCCGATTTTCTCGGCTTCTGTGTTATGCATATCTGTCTTCAAAGTTGAGTTTTGTCATCTTAATTACTGGTTGCTAATTGGTGGAACTAAATTGATACAAAATATATTGTTGCATCAAAATGAACACTATTTGATATTTGCATTGTATCTGAATGATAAATGATTTTCGATTCATTAGCTTTTGGAAGTTTAAAAGGCCAAAAAGTAAGTGTGTATGTACTTGACTGCAATCGCTGAATATATCGCTTGATAAATTATGAACCTTTGTTAAACTACAGTACAAAAATTGAACGTAAATCCTGACTCAGTGGTCTAAAGTGACGCGCTCGTATTCGGTCTGGGTTCGGCTGTTGGTATGATCATAAGTCTTCACTGATGACAAATATTAAACTAGGAGGAATAAACTACAGTTCTCCCTGTTTTTCCGTAGCCCATTAAAAAAAACACGTACTTAATTTGATTTCCACAACCAAGCAAATAAACATCAATTATGACGTTCACTACTGCGAACTGAATATGTCATCCGATGGGACTTGTGGTAAAGCATTATAAGAATCAGGATTTGTATAATCGATTTCCATTATTAAGCTTGTAAAGTGAGTTAACATATCAAAGTGTATCTTGTTTAAGCATGTTTTAGGATTAGTTAGTTTATAGATGCTTATGACTTCAGGTAATATTGAGGCAATTCGCATAGGATGCACGTATGCCAATAAGGGACTGATCAATTGCAGTCCTAAAAATCAATAGGAAGATTTAAATAACTAATACGACATAAAATGCTACATGATTAATTTCCTACTACATTTAATAGCCTATCTATTTAACTAATTTTTTAGCTCATATAAATCTGTTTACATGTCTTATTTATGGACTCCTATATTTTATAGAAAAAAGAGTAGACTCAACATAAATTGTCAGTGTGCTTATTTAAACATTTGACTAGTTTTCATGGCTAAAGCATATGAAGTCTCTAAGACTAATAAAAGGTGGAATGTCAGTTTAATCGTGTTTTTCCTATTTAAGAATGTTAAATTTCTGTACCTATAACAGACCTTTGCTATAAATATTAGGAGGTGGTGTAGGAAAATATCAACCGAAATATGAGTGTTGCATTTCTCAAGTGAATTCAATTTGTAGTATTTCATTATATATAATTTTGCTCAAACAAAAATACTATATTTGTTTCAGTCACAAACTAATATATGCTAGAAAACACTTTACAAACATACTAGATTGGAAAGTGTAAACTCCAATCTTGCGCATAGTCGGATGTGTAAAATTTCGTACTAGGGTGATTTCTTAATTTTCAATAGTTCTCTACGAAATATCATCCCTTAATGAAAGTTATATCCAAACTAGTTAATTTTCACGTAAACTACTTCATCAAATACATGTGAAAGATTTTAAATTTGCTTTTTTAATATATATTGCCACAAATATCCTTACCACAAGATTGTTGTTTTTCATATTATAACATAGATGGTTTAGTTTCATTTGAAAATGACAAATTAGTAACAAATAATACTTCGAGTGGTTTATCAACTATCAATGAAGAAAATATTGAAGAGACATCAACAACTCTAAATGCTTCTGTATCAACTACCGGTCGGATGAAAAGTAGTGCAGGAATAAATGATATCGACTTTGAGGTTAGTCTTCACTAGTCATCCACTTTTTTCTCTTGGATTTTTGTTCATCAAGATTTAAAATATTAGTCATGCTATTTATATTATTATGTTGTAACGTATTATGAAATTCAGACAGGTTGATTGTGAATATTTGAAAGACAGACATTATTGTCTTCGTCATTTGCTTACTTCAGTTCAATCATTTCTTGTTTTTTTTATTTGACTAAAAATACTATCGACTAGGTTAACATCTGTAGTTCTGATAGGATTTGCTTGTATTTATCAAGAAATGAGTTTGGAATTGAAGTGTTTCTTTGAATTAATATGTAGTTGTTAGACAACTGTCCAGAAAGTTATTGGTGTTTAATTACTGGGGCGTTTCGTCACCGTGAAATTATTTTATTTACCCATTTAATACAAAATTCGATACAACTGAACATCATGAAATCTTGGACTGTAAATCTTTTTTTTGTATTACACCTGTCCTCGAATTAACTGAAGATCCCCAATCAACTAATCAGAATTTTATTTTCTTCTATTAGTTATTAGTTTCATCGTGAATGTTTGAAGCTGGAATATGAAATTTCCTCCTTTTAAACTAATGTATTGCTTCGTATTAGTTGTACTAACATTTATCATACTGTCAAATATGTCTCTATATATATCGCAAGTCGAATGATATTGATTGCATAAAACAATAGCTAATTCAAAACTGGTGCACTAGTTTTTAAACTTGAGAGTTTTTTTAAAATAAAACTAATAGGACGACTTGGTGCTGAGCACTTCAGGAATAAAACTAAAAACCTTTGTATTGCTCGCTAATTCTTTAATCATAGGTTGAAAAGAAACAAGTGATAGAAAATGTAATGCAATTGATTAACAAAGCTTGAGTTTTAGCATCAATTGCAGATTTTTTTCGCCGTCAAAAATACTATTTAGTTGCATGAAACTTAGTTATGTTAAAGAAGATTTGAATTGTAACCCAATGAGTAAAACTGAAGTGGTCACCTGAAAGAATCGCGAATATAAAATTGAAACAAGTTAACAAACTATATCAAATAGATCATTAGTGTTCTTGATAGATTTGCAATAACTATGTATTATGTTTTATATTTTGGTCATGTGTATAATTTACTGAATAATTCTAACTTATATATATCCACTATATCAAGGAATTTAAGCATTACAGACGTCTCAATGGGTATTCACTTTTCGTACATGTCAATAAGAAAAAATATGGATCATTTCCAGGCTCGACACTCGTTGATGATACAAATGATGCCAATGATAACATGCAAACTGGCCTTGGTATCTCTAGTTCAGGAAAAGAAAGCCAGAAATCCAATCGTAGATGGCAGGTTTGTAACCTCTGCTAAGATAGATATCATTTATATTTTATCTTTCTGTTTTATTGTTTTAATCAATTTAAAAGATGGTGCTTATTCACGTTCTCACTATATTTTTTATATCAAAGTCAAGGTTTCGGTGGAGTTTTTATTTCTCTACTATGTATGATTGTAAAAGCTGTAGTGGCGAGTGGATTTTGGCACACTGAAGTTCTTTTTCAGAAAAATATCTGGTTCGTAAGGCTTCCCACCTCTTTCTTAAGATGTCTCCATCACAACTGATCACACATCCTTCAACATTTTTGTTTATCGACAACAATCGTTTCGCTAGATATTTTTACCGTTTAAATATTCGTAAGAACTTCAGCACTGTTTGTGGTTGTTTCGCTCTATTTGCGGGTACTTATAATGATTAATATCAATAATTTCAACTTTCCAATGATCTATTTCTTAGTCACACTGATTATTTGACAACAACGGCACAGAACTTCACGAAGCCTTTGCTAAGGGTAAAGAAAGATCCGTCAAATGAATTTTTCGTACTATATCAAATTTCATCGAACATCTGGTCAAAAAGATCAAATCATCACTGTAATGTAAACAAGAACGGAGTAAACTCCCTTGAAATGTTAAGGGAATAGGATGTTTTTATTGAAACAGTGTGGTTAAATCGTATACATAACCAACCGATGATCTTGCACATGAAGTCAGCAAAAAGGCCCGTAAGAACTTAGAATTCTCATCAGTCTCTAAAGCACCTAGTTGAGTTAAAACTTAGTAAGTAATAATTCCCTGAATTAGGGTAGTTTTTGTTTGAAAAACAGCAAAAATTTAGTTTTCAATAAAATATCTTATAGTTTTTCAATTTTCTTGACCGTTTTTTCCAAATTAATAAATACGAACCGAGAAATTAAGATTTATTTAGCTGAAAACTAGGAGTGTCAAATATAAAATTACTTACTTAGGCCTGTTACTCCCATCGGAGGGTAGGCTGCCGACCAGCGTTCTCCAACTCACTCTGGAATCTGGTTTGTTCTCTCCAACAGTAGGTTGTCGCTGATATTGTCTGGCCAGCGGATCCGAAGTATTTTGCGTAAACAGCTGTTTACAAACACTTGTATCTTCTGGATGATGGCTTTCATAGTTTTCCAAGTTTCCGCCCCATACAGTAGAACTGTCTTGACATTTGTAGTGCAAATTCTGACTTTGATGTTGATTGAGAGTTGTTTTGAGTTCCAGATGTTCTTCAGTTGTAGATATGCTTTATTTATTTATTTTAACACATAGATATTGGTACAAGGAGGCATCAAATACATATGCGCTACACAAATCTCATTCGACATGTGTGAGGGCTGTGATACTGTCCGGGTGCCCAAACCGAAGCAGGTGGTTTTCTTAGGGGACCGCACTCGGAGCCTTCGACCTGAAGGTCTGATCCACAAGGCAGTGGAGCATCGTGAGGAGATGCAGTCCCATGGAAGCCGGTGACTAACAATTGGTTCATACGCCATTTGTTCCTTCAGGATACTGGAGCCCATGTGCACCATTGGTTTGTGATCCGGTTAAAGCGCCGGACATTCGCTTTTCATCCTCTCATTTTCGTAAACAACACTCCTGCCACGAGAAGGCAGTGAGTAGGACTTCCCTGGGAGAGGCTATATACGCGTGACCATGTGAGAGCATTTCGAGAGGGAGAGCGGACTCTCTCCACTCTCGTCCGTACCAGGGCATTTGGGGGCGGCTCTTGCTTTTCCGATCCCCTCCTTCACATATGCATCAGATCCACCGTATTCATCAATGATCCTGCGCAGATATGTGAAGCTTTTCACATCTTCCAAAGGTTTTCCGCCAAGTGTGATTAGATTGATGCATGTTGTGTTGTATCGGAGAATATTGCTTTTCCCTTTGTGTATATTGAAACCTACTGCTGCTGAGGCTGCTGCTACACTGGTTGTCTTCTCCTGCGTTTGTTTTTGGGTGTGCGATAAAAGAGCCAGAACATCCACGAAGTCTTGGTCGTCCAGCTGCATCCTAGCTGTCCACTGTATCCCATGCTTCCCCTAAGATGTTGACGTCCTCATGATCCAGTCGATCACCAGGAGAAAGAGGAAGGGTGAGAGTGAGCAACCTTGCCTGATACCGCTCTCTACTTAGAACGAGTCTGTCAGCAGTCATCCACGCACGATTTTGCAGTTTAATCCATCATAGGAATTCCGTATGATGTTGACTGTCTTTTCAGGCAAGCCGTAGTGTCGAGGAGGCCTCCATAGTGTTGTCCTGTCCACGCTATCAAATTCTTTCTCGTAGTCAATGAAGTTGATGTAGAGTGATGAATTCCATTGGATTGATTGTCCACAATGATCCATAGTGTTACGATTTGGTCAGTACACGGTCGACCCTTACGGAATTAAACCTGTTGGTCTCGAAGTTGGGCATTTACAGAGTCCTTCATTCTGTTTAACAATACCTCGTTGAAGACTTTACCTGGCATTGAGAGAACAGTGATGCCCTTGTAGTTATCACACTTGCTGGGATCGCCTTTCTTTGGTATATTGATAAGATGTCCTTCTTTCCAGTCTGTTGGTACTTGTTCCTCATCCTATATCTTGCTGGATAGAATGTGGAGTATCCTTGCGGTTACTGCTACATCTGCTTTCAGTGCCTTTGTTGTCTGGTCCTGCTGCTTTGCCGCTCTTGATTTGTCTGATGGCTATGCTGATCTCTTCAATTTTTGGTGGGCCAACATCAATTGGGAGGTCCGTGGGTGCTGCTTGGATGTCGGGTGTGTTTAGTGGGGTTTGTCAGTTCAAGAGTTCCTTGAAGTGCTTTACCCACCTGTTCAATGTTGGTGAATACTTTACCTTCCTTGCTTTTCACTGGTCGTTCTGGTTTACGATAATTTCCAGTGAGCTTCCTTGTTGTATCACACAATTGTTCCCTTCTCTTGCAGCCTTTTCTGCCGTCATTAATAGATCTTCCACATATTTATGTTTGTCAGTTCTGATGCTACTCTTCACTTGCTTGTTTGCTTCCGTGTATTCGGCTTGTGCCCTGGCTTTATCGGTTCTTGTTTCGTCTGATATTGATTGTATCAGCAGTGATCCATTCCTTGTGATGGTGCTTCTTGTGGCCCAGAACTTCATGACATGTTGAAGTAATTACCTCCTTGATCACTTTCCATTTGTTATCCATGGTAGTTCCCTCTCCGTTGAGTAGATCGTGAAAGGCCTGGGACCTATTGTTGTGGGCTGTCTTGAATTCGTTGAGTCGGTCAGCATCCCGAAGAAAGGCCGTACTAAAATTTCGTGATGTCCGACCCCTTGTTCAGTGCTTCTTGAGTTTCAATTTCATCTTGGCGACCAGCAAGTGATGATCTAAGGCTATATCAGCTCCTCTCTTGGTTGTCGCGTCCTCCATCGTCCTTCTGAACTTTTTATTGATGCAGATATACTCGATTTGGTTCTGTGTTGTGTGATCGGTGAAGTCTATGTGGCTTTGTGAATGCGTTTATGCGGGAATATAGTGCCTCTTATGACTAGTTTGTTGAAGGCACATATTTTTGAATATCTCACCACTTTCGTTCCTTTCTCCCAGTCCATATCGTCCCATGATATGTTATCTGGTATTGTCCATTCCAACTGGCGTTTAGGTCTCCTATCCGAATGGCCACGTTCTTTCTTGAGCATTTCTCAACGATTGAATGAAGCCTATCGTAGAATTGATGTTTATTGTCTTCACTGTAATCGTTGGTAGGCGCATAGCATTGGATGACGTTCATTGTAATGCCCTCTTTCTTTGCTTTGAAGGAGGCTTTGATGGTCCTGGGTCTATGAGACTCCCATCTTATAAGTGCCTTTTGTGCTTGTTTGGACAGCGTCAGTGCAACTCATTGTGTATGTGGAGCATTTTTTTTATGGTCGTAATGTAACAACAGCTCCCCTAAAGCTAATATTTGTTGTCCGACCTGCCTTCAATGTGTTTCACTGATTCCAAGTACCTCCAGTTTGTATCTTTTCATTTCTGCAGCAGCTTGGATGACTCTCCAAGTCTCCCACATTGTACGAACATTCCATTTACCTAAATTAATGGTTGCTCTGATTGTCAGTAGAGGCCTCAGCTTCGTGACTTTCGAAGAAACTTTTCTAAATGAAGACCCTCTAACTTCCAGGGCAGAGTTCAAATGGTTTGGATTGTTTTTTTTGTGGTTAGCGTTTTTTCAGCGAGTTAGTTTTCTACGGGATGGGGTCGTCAACCCCATGCCCGACCTCCCTTCTTTATCCGGGCTTGGGACCGGCAGTAACCTCAAAGGGGCTCCAGGCGAAGTTAATTATAAAATTGCTTACTGGAAAACATGAGTAACTGTGAAACACTCATATCCTAGTATATACAGTTTTGTAGTTGACTCAGCTTATTGTAAATGTCATAATTATGCGTTTTGATCGTTGTACAGTATTTGGATTTCAATAAACCTTATGTAACCGTTCCGATTTTTCCATTTATTATTAAGAGGAATAGACTTATATGAAAGCAAGAAAATATAGAAACTTCGATCTTGCAGACATAATTAAAGGAGTTAGCAAGTACGAATTGTATAGTATTTAATTGCGATGTGATGAGATTTTTGATAAGAGTTGCTATAGAATGTTTATTTTTAACAGGGATTTGAGTAACTGACAGCAAAATAATAGAACTATGTAGAAAGTTTAATTTGGCACGTAAATCTACTTACCTAGGTGCTTGAAATACTTCTTATGTGTATAAGGATAGTAGGTACTAGCCATCTATGGTACACAAGTGAATTTTCATTTATTGATCAGTTGACTGTCCTCACCTGCGCCTGTAGTTAGCCAACGAAACCTGGCATGTCCTGTATGGTTTTAATCAACACGGGATACAGAGTGTTGCCTAGCTCGCTGTTTGCAGATATATTGTTGAGTTTGGTGTAGTACAACACGATAAATTGATTTTTGATTAGTTAATTCAAATTTACTTATCTGTTCGTTTTTATCCAACTTAACTTTTTTGTTTATTTAAGGCTTTGTGGTTAACAGTGCCAGAAAAAGTTAAACGCGAATGGAAAAACAAGGCAAAGCGTCTTTTAAAACAAATTGAACAGCATGGAAAACGGGAAGTTCTATCCGAAGATAGAAAATTAAGAGAACGTGATCGTTTGGAAGTTCAACTCAGTCGCACACAAACAACATTTTATAGTTTGCTTGATCTGGCCGCTCATTTCCAGCTTTTAAGTGATCGATTTGCAACATTTTCTAAAAATGTTAATGATTATGAGGTAATTGGAAGTCTCATCTATGATAGTTCTTTATGACCAGAAAATTAGTAGCACAAATCAGTTATGATTAGAGAAATTGTTTGCTTAAACGTTTACTGTTCATAACATTATCTATGAGTTTTTGCAACACATATCTAGCTCATTACCCGTTCTGTTGGATAATTAAATATCAGTCTGGTATGTTTGTTACAAAAGCTTGAGGCGATATATCCTACAGTCAGATATTTTAAGTCATTTTATGTTATGCTTAAATAACAGTTCGGAATATTGAGCTACTGTATTTTTACTTTGAAGACACTTTCTCACTAAAAGTTAGTTTTCATTACATAGCCATTTAGCAAGTAAGCTGTAACAAAAATTCAATTCACTCTTCTATCTACAGCATCATGTGACCTTTGTAGCTATCTTAAGCGGAAATAGTAAATCTCGCTCCTATAATCTACTGCATAATCGTGAATTTTGCTGCAGATATGATCCAAACGGTGAGTGTATTGCGATAAACGGTGAGACTATAATTTATGGACGACCTTTGAGCCACGCTAAAGTGACCTTGAGAGTGTCTACTTACTTACTAGAACTAAATCAGGGTTATAAAGTAGTTTTAAGAATAAGGATTATGATTTACAGTTGATGGTTAGTGTTAGGAGTTAGATTTAGAGTTTTCATCACGAACTGACATCAGCTATAATACCAAGACTATTTAGCCAAATGGGTGGATGAATTTCGCGCCAAAATCTCAGACCTGTTATCGTAAATCTGATTGGCTCGTCCATAAATTATAGTATCGCCGTGAAAAACCATTTGAAATCTCCCAGATTGATGTATTATACTCAAGGTTATCTGCAGTCTAAGTTTATTAAAGTAGAATCTTGTTTTTGGTATTGCATGCTATTTCATTAAGTAAAAGGTTGATTGAAGATTATATATATATATATATATATATATATATACTTAGTGTACTTGTTTTCTTGTTTGTTTTACAGGGGCCAGTTGACCCTGTAGGTGTAGAGTCGTTACTACTCGATGGCTTATTAACATGTTTAATCCCATTGATTGCGCTAACAAGTGAATTGGAGCCATTCACAGAAGTTCCTGATCGTAAAACTATATGTGACGCTTTAACCAATTTAACTTTTATCGCTCCATTTTAAAATACGAAAACTAAATACATTCATATAAAGTTTTGTAAATATATCCATGTTATCCCATTTTAAGTGTAAAATAACTGTGTAAATAAAATTTGTATCACTATCAAGGTTTTTTGACCATTTTGTTTCTTTATAGTTTGTGTTTTTAGGGTTTTTTACTTGTCAATAAAGTAGATCTCTAATGTTCACCTTTTTTTATCGGTCATTATTTGAAGAAAACTTGATTTGCTAGCTAATTTTCTTTTTCTTGTTGGATTTAATGAATACTGGGATATTGCTTGAAAACCCTGAATCTCTAACGCCAATAATTAATCTTGAGTTTTTATGTTAGTTCGTCACCGAAATAGATGTATTTTAGTCATTCTTTTGTAATTATTGACCATATTTACAGCACTAGTTTAGTGAAAGTATTTTTTTATAACTCTACTGACTTAATCCTACTTACACGTTTAACAGATCTCATTTGTGATCATTTGCGATACAACTAAGTTCCTTAATGCTATTTACGTCGTGTCAGTTTCACATTTGCGACTTAAAGGTTGGAAGCCTTGCGGCACTGAACAATCATATAATATGATGTAAAAATGAGCGGTAAATAGAAATTGAAAATTTTATGGATTTCAATCTGTTGTTCGGAACGTGCACAACAGAACTCTTCATCCGTATTCTTGATATGTGTGTGACAATATTTGCCTGACGGTTCTCGATGTATGTTGCTTTTCTGGCATGAGGAAATGTTTATCAAGCACTTGTTTCAATTATTGATTGGTCGCTTGTACAGATCTTGAAGCCTATTGTGTTTAGTTATCATGAATTCAATTGTAGCTTGTTAGATTACCTAGTGGAGTTTTGATTTTGTGCTATTTGTGAAGCGGAATTTAGCTAAACATAGATGGTCAAATAATCAATAACTAACTCAACTTAGTAAATACTTGGTCGCATACTTGACTTTGAGCTAAAACGTTTTATTTGTTTGTTACAGATAATTTCTAGCTCCTCAAAATACAATCTGTGAGGTTTTGGTTTGAATTTACAAAAATAATTGCCAGAATCTCAGTATTCTGACTGGTTATTTGGTAAAACCGACGTAAGCTTTTGTCAGTATTAGCTTTCTATGGAGTTAACCTAACTAAACGTTGAACTTTATGAAATCCATGTACTCGATCAGTCATCTCTAAGAATTTTATACTTGTAACCAACCAAAGCTTCCAAATAAATTCCCGCTACTGTTTTAATGTTTTTTTTTTAAGTTTGTTCATTTTACTGTTATTCGAAATCCTTATAAAAAGGACTCCTTATTTTCGGGGTTGTTGATTTTCTTCATTTTACTTAGATAAAATCAAAACTTACTCCATTCTCTTTTCACACAAGTTGACTATGTCTAGTACAGTGTGGCAACTTGCAGGTAGATTGTTCAAATCTATGTAAATGTTGATTGTAAAGAAAACATTTGTACACCAATTCACTGTTTTCAAATAAAGAAATTCGTTTTGATAACTTGACTATTGCATACATTTGTTGATGGCAATAACGCTGACACCATTGCATTGGTTTATTCATGATCTCACTTATTTCATTCGTACTTAAATATTTTGCATGATCACGTGGATCATTTTGAATTTGAGATATTTTGAATGAAATCATGTATGCCTGGATGTTTGCGTAATAGTATTTTCAACCTACTGATAGTATGAAAAATGTTACCATAATGACTTAAGCTACTGTCATATGATTATAGTTATTAGTATTAATACCTATTGTGTATAAACTTATTGATCTCTTATCCTACTAGTATTGTGTATTTCTGAGTTTAAATAGTGTTGCAATATTGAAATATAAATGTGAGATATGTTGGGGCACTTTCTGTGAATAGACATAGGGTTATGGTTGTCATATCTTTTCTTATTGAAATATTAGTTGGAATGTGTATTTTTACATCCGAATTTCTCTGACTACTGGTTAGTCAGGTGATAGTACTGTAAAACTCATTAAAAAATATAACCTAATGACCAGTTTCATTTATGTAGCACCCTGATGGCCATCTTAGTGTTCATAGTCCAGGTTAGTTTTCACCTTTAACTCAATGTTAGATGGCTTATTGTAATAATGCTATAAAAATAGTGTTTCGAGAGACAACTACTTTTCGCATTTCAGGTCTTAATGTTGTTCACATCCACATCGATATTAGAATAAAAATGGAGTAATGTCCTTATCGTTTTTACGCTAGTCATAATAAGACATAAAATGTATAGCATTAGTAATACGAATTATAAATATTTCAACATACGAATTATGTCAAAACTTTAGAAAAAGCATTGGAATTATAATCATATTAAAATAAAGCCTTATAAAAGTTTAATTTTCAGTATTTTACTCTAATGTCAGTATAATCTCTGTCTTCATTTTGAACAAATCTTATTAAATACTTAGATTCTCGTAAACAATGATCAAATTAAGAAGTCTATTTTTTTAGTTAAATAGTGCTGTATATATGCTAGAAAAGTTATTTTTGATTCAAATTCCAAGCAAACAAGTGGTGTTTCGTTTGTATTAGCTTCTGGTAGTGTCTGTGTTTTCTTTTTTGTAACTAACAAATTTTGTATTGAGTACAGCTTATCAATACTTGTTTTCAATTTCTGAGTCTATCGATTCATAATGAGGACATTTATCCCGAGTACATTAAGTTCAATAGGTGTTCTGTTTCTTTTCCTCCATGAAATATTAATCATTTTGTTTGTTATTTGTTTTAATTATGCTATATATAGATTAGAGCAATTAAAATAGAATTATTTCCAAGCATCCTTGTTGGAATGAATGTTATTTTGACTGATAAGTAAGATTACATTGAAGCTCTTAAATGTTCCATTTAAGAAAAAAAACTTTGTTTTCTATTTAGTATCTTAAATTTGTTTTTAGGCAGTTAATACAAATTCTGATAACTTTAATTCAATCAAATTGAAGTATGATGGATTAGTGGATGAAAAGAATAGAATCGAAAAAAAATTATCGGAATTAAGTGAAATACTTCGTCAGGTAAATTTTAGTTTAATTGAAACATTTTCATATTTATTAAATTTCGTAGTTAATCCGTACTGAATGGATATTTAACAAACCATGTATTTTAATTGAATAGTCATTGGATAGGCATCTTTTTAAAAAAAAGAAATACTTAACTTATATTTCTACTTTGAATCACGTATACGAAGCTAATGAAGACAGATATTCTCTGATTTCACGGTTTTGAAAGTTAAGGAATGTGAATAGCGTATGTTAATCATCTTTCTATTATAGCCTAGGTGAATCAAACTAGAAGTGTTTAGATATAATGCAAAACAAGTAGTTCCTTTTGCTTGTTTCAAACTAAACTTCGTCTATGATGTTTTATTTTATATCCAAATATTTTTAACACTCTAATTTTCCTAGGTTTCTAGATAATTCTTCTCTCTCAAATGTTTTTTTTGTCACTACAACTCACATTTACCTTTATGTTAACATGATGAAAACGATTTAACCTTTTAAGCATCAGCAAATATTATATCGAGTAATCTTTTCATTATTGCTCTTGACATCAAATTTATAGCCTGTAACTTTCAGTGTAGAAGTAATGTTTTGATTTGTTTACATGAATAACTCTAGTATATGATGAAGTTATTGTAAATGCCAACAATTTATGGTCCCACACAGAATTCATACTTTTCCAACCCATCAATCAGAACAGTAGGAAGACCAGCCAGGTACATTGTTGTTAAGGTTTTGGTCTCTTAAAAAAAGACTTATATAGGACTACATCAATGTCTACTTAAGGTGAATTTACGGTGTGTAAGGTCAGTGGTCTTGAGTGCTGTTAGAGGTCAAGACCACTGACGCTACATTACTTTATTAACTTCCAGTGCATTTTTGATATGATTTGTGTTGAGTGACAACTACTCAGTTCATAAATTATAATCATTGTATTTGATATATAACCGATTAGATTATGTGTTTTTAACTTTACTGGATTCATTATCAATAAATCTTCTTTTAAGAAACTAGACCTCTTACTCTAGTTGCGCTTCAGACATCAAGAGAATAGCGGCAGTCTCGTTCACTATACTGAAGTTGTAGCCGCAAACTGAAACTTAGTGCACGAACATGTCACTTAAAGTGTCTGTATTCTTTGTAAATATCATACTCAAAAACTCGCATAATTATATAAGTTGAAGGGTTACATGCAGGATAGTTAATAAATCCCAGTCAGTACATAACCAGGATATAACTCTGAGTAACAGTTTCATAGTTAATTCACTGAACGTACTCTTCTAAAACAACTTATCAAGTTCAGTGATACTCTTTTCATTCTTTCACTTTACAATCAGATCAGCTTTTATAACGATTTACAATTGGAATGTTAAACGTGGTAGCTAACAAAAATATACTGGGATTGTAGATATTCAAATTATTTGTACCCGGTCAGAATTACTTATCTGCGATTGTTAATTTGACGCATGTTGAATAAAAGATAGTCATCAGCTACATTTTTTACTGTTAATTTTTACTTGCCCATTATAACTGTTTCTAAATAGAATGGCAATGTTGGTATGGATACCCCATTAGTTGATGATGAAGGCTACCCACGCTCTGATATTGATGTGGCTCTTATACGAATAACGCGAAACAATATCCATTGTAAGTTTGTAGGCTTTGTTTAGTTTGGCACCGTATATTTCGTTTCAAGAAGACTTTTATTATTCTTACCTCTAGTTAAGCACGTCGGAGTGACCAAGCGGTCCAACGTCCCAGACTCAAGAGTGTTCTTCTGGGTGTTCTGGTTCACGGTGTGGGTGTGGGTTCGAATCACACCCCGACACATACTTTAGGGCAAGATTAGCATGGCCTTTGCGCAAGCACGACGCTCTACATTTGCCCCCAAATGCCCTGGTATGGCCGAGGGTGAGGAGAACTAGCTCCCCCTCTCGAAATGCTCTCACGTGGCCATGCGTATACAGCCACTGCCAGGGAAGTCCTACTCACTGCGTTCTCACGGCGGGGGTGTTGTTTGCGAAATCGAGAGGACAAAAGCAAATATCCGACGCTTCAACCGGGTTGGTGGATATGGAGGATCCATCTAGGGGAGTTGGAAAACCCTGATTCCAAACCATTGGTGCACATGGGCTCCAGTATCCTGAAGGAACAAATGGCGTATGAACCAATTGTTGGTCACCGGCTACCATGGGACTGCATCTCCTGATGTTGTTCCACTGCCTCGTGGATCAGACCTTCAGGGTCGAAGGCTCCAGGTGTGGCCCCTTAAGAAAACCACCTGCTTCGGTCTGGGCACCCGGGCATTGTCACAGCCCACACACAAATCAAGTGACTTGTGTATTCGGTGCCCCTTTGTACCAATATTTATGTGTTCAAATAAATAAACAGAATACTAGTTAATAAGCTACTTATCCTCTTAAGTAGTTCTTGTGGTATAAATTGAATCCTCTTAACGCAATAGTCAATCACCGAGTAGTAACCACTGTCATTTCTAATCAATAATGCTTATCGAATTCAGTTGATTAAGTCATAACAAGATTAACAGACCAAGCTACTCAATACTGTCGATTTACGTCTTATGGAAAGCATCAGTACACATGAGGCTGCAAATAACCGTTGTTAACGAGTACCAGTTAACATGGAATTTAGGTCCAGGGCCTCTTGTTGGTTATCTTCAGCTATCTGACATATGATATTTTTTACAAGTTTGTCCAATCCGAAAATCACAAGATTCGTACAAAAGTAACTGTTAGACGGTAAGTCTAAAGACACTATTAGTTTCTTTGGAATCACGGACCTATCTAAGTCTGACCACTATTGAGAAACTGAAAGCCATGGACGGTCGTCTCGTCCGAGTATGGATTTTTTTAGCAGTGCGCACTTACGATCTTGAATCAGGGACCTTCGTCTCTCTGTAGCACGCTTAATATTTAGACTACTGAGTCGGTATTCACTGGTAATACCATCTAGCCTCAATTAGTTCATGGTATTGCGTGATCATCTTACATTGTCTTTGGGTGATAACTACTCACTAGTCAATGATTTTAATGAAATTCAGCAACTTCCGCAACCCTATACTGAACATTATTAGTCATTTTCAATATAATACACATATGCCCAGCTGATGAATCATTTTAGACACAATAAGCATCGTTACGGTTAACCACTGTCAGTGACTCCTTTGATTGAAAGTAATTAGACTTCCAACCATCTAACAATTAATAATTTGAGGTAAACCAAATACATGTGATTAATCTGTTCTTAGAGAGTGAACTATGCTTATGTCAATTCACTAATTGGCATATCGGGTTTCTTGTGTTGTATTTATTATTTAAACAAATAAATCATTTTAAAAGTTTTTATTTGAAGTATCATTTCTTTTTCAAAATAGGAGAGTTAGTAATCATTAAATTTGTCGCCAAATTATTTACTTTGGCGTTTCTAATATGCGCTTAATATAACTTCCGTTAGTATTTTTAAAATAGTGAATCATTATATCTCACTATTATTAAACTTGTAGGAAGTCACTCAGATATTAGTAGATTACATTGATTCTTAAAAAGTCTCTTCACAAAGTTGAGAATATATTATTATCCAAAGTATTTAACTGGAGTTACTTTATAAATAATTTAATTTTTAGGTTCTTTTTTAATGCACGCGTATAAAGATATGTTTGTAAAATTATGTGTTATTTCTCATTTGGTTTCTCTTTCAGGTTTAAATACAGATCATAAACAAATAATGCTTGAATTGGAAAGTGTTTTGCATGAAATACATGAATATGCTCGTCAAAATCCATCTAAAAATGTTTTAACTGATGGAAATGCTTGTTCCAGTGAGAATAAACTAAGTGATGATCAATCCGCACAGATTGTGAAGAAACCTTTCCTTAAAATTGATCAAATATCACCTAATTCAATAGCGGAACAAGCAGTAAGCATTTATTATTGCTTAAATGAGTGTTAATCTTATGTAAACGGTAATAATTAGTGCAATCTGTAAATGTGTTGAATAAAATCCTCTATCTTTTGGTTATCAAGCTGATGTTCATTTTTATTTCAACTAAATCTATGTAGAGTACGCGGAATTAATAGCCATTTTATGTAGTCTAGGCGTTACTATGTAGACTTTTAATTGTTGTATGTCTGGTGATATTTTGAACTTTTGTATTACAATTTCATAATATGAAATAATTAAACTAGACTTATTGACGGCTTCATATACGAAAAGGATGTTGCTCACTTCTAATACTTATTGAGAGTTCATCCTGCACACTTTAAATTCAACAAGGCATCCACTTATAATACTGTTTAGTTGCCCACGTTTATGATTTTCATTACCCTTTTAACATTACTCATAATTGTAGATACATTTTTTCAACTGCTATACCATATGGCTTTAAATACCTTAAGCCGTACGATTGTCTTCTCTCTCCGGAATTTACGAATATTAAATTAGATTGACTATGGATTTTGCGAATTTCAAAGCACTTAGTGATTCATTTTTAACTCGAGGAAATTCTCCCTGTTATCACTTCGAATAATTTCACAAACAATCATGTCGTTTACACCGAAACCAGATGTAGCAATAGCTGATTAGTCTGTTCGATAATTTTTCTGCTGTGCTTTTGGGTATTGAAAGACAATAGATAGCAGGCGGTGGACCTAAATTTATTGGTAGTTGATACTCATCAGTAAGGTATTTTCAATATCGAGGATACTGATACTTTCCTGTAGATGTAAATCTTGAAAATGTGTGCCAACCATAAGAGAACCTAATTATGTTTATTCCTGTTGATTCCCTCCAACCACCTATTTTCAAAACATAATACCTACAATGTTAAGTCACATGAAGTGCTAGATAAATTGCATTCTAATCCGTAGTCTAAGGATTGGGAAGAAGTGATATTAGTTATTACTCTATGTAACCAAACAGAAAGTAAGACCTTTTTAAATTAAAATTCGAATTTATTTATTTATTTGAACACATATATATTGATACAGGAGTGCGCCAAATCTATATGCGCCACACAAAACGATGAGAATTTAAGAAGAAAAAGAAAAAAAGTGTAAAACGTAAAAAAAATATATAAAAAAAACAATAACAAAGAGATTGGTGTAAGGTAGTGTAATAATAATAGTAGTAGTAGGGGAACAGAAGGGTACAATCAGAAGAAATCTTTCAGTTAAGGAAGACACAACCACTTTTTATGAAGAAAGTAAAAGAAGGTTACAGCAGGATCGCCACTGGCTTCTATTCTGAGCCATATCTGATAACGTCTCTAGCCACTGTGTAGCACCATCTCTCAGACCCCAACCAGGGAGTCGTGAAGGACCAACACAAGCCAGTCCTTTGCAGCTTTCTTTCATACCACGACACCATGTCATGCACTGACCACCTCTCCGCTTCTTCCAACCAGTCCCAGAGTCGGCAAATAATGCACGACGTGGAATTCTCTGGGACGACATTCGGAGAACATGTCCAAGCCACCGAAGTCGGTGTTTCAAGATGGTGACACCAATTGATTATCATCTCTGTGCCCGAACACACGATGCCGAACCTCTGCATTACTGACATGGTGTTGCCACTGAATGTCAGCAATCCTTCGGAGACAGCGATGATCGAACACAGAGAGTCGTCTAACGTCCTCAACTCGGAGAGGCCAGGTTTCACAAGCATAGAGCAAAACTGCTCTCACCGACGCGTTGTAGATCCGACCTTTTACAGCCAGACTAACATCACGAAGGCGCCAAAGGTGGCCCAGATTGGCATAAGCCGCTCTGGCTTTCACTATTCGTGCATTGATCTCATCACTCACACCCCCACCAGCACTTATGCAGCTACCCAGATACACGAACTTCTCGACTACGTCTATCTGCTCACCATCCAGGGTGAGTACAGGATTAGAATCCTGCCAGTCTTGTAGAAGTACTTTGCACTTCGAAGGTGCAAAGCACATACCATACCTACGGACACTGATTGCCAACTGATTAAGTGCGGATTGCATGCCTTGGGCATTATCGCACAGTAAGACAATATCGTCCGCATACTCAAGGTCGAGAAGTCTTTCTCCAGGCAACAGATCCACACCACCATTACTTACATTCATCAGAGCTGTTTCCAGAATGTCATCGATGGCAAAGTTGAAGAGGAATGGTGAGATTGGGCAACCCTGCCTAACCCCACTGCTCGAATGGAACAATGGAGAGAGGTGGTTGTATGCCCTCACTCTGCCTGAGGTGTTTTTATATAGGGCTTTTAGGATGTTAATAAACTTCTCAGGCACACCCTTCTTCAATAGACAATCCCAGAGAACAGTCCTGTCCAACGAATCGAAGGCAGCCCTGATGTCAAGAAACACTACGATTGTTGGCCTTTGAAAAGTATGGCGGTGTTCTAACATTTGGCGGAGGGTGAAGATATGATCAATACATCCTCGACCAGAACGAAACCCAGCCTGCTCCTCGCGAGTCAATCTTTCTCGGGTTTTGAACAACCTACGAAGTATGACGGAAGCCAATAGCTTGGACGCAATCGGAAGTAGACTTATCCCCCGATAGTTGTTACAGGAACGACGTGAACCCTTTTTAAAGATAGGGACAACTATCGACTCATTCCATGACGTTGGTACACTCTCTAGTTCCCAAACCTTTGTAAACAACGTCGTCAATTCCTTAGTCAAAAAGTCACCACCATCTTTAAAAAGAGCCGGAGGTAAGTCATCTGGGCCAGGTGATTTGTAACGCTTCAAGAGTTGGAGTTCCTTGCGGACTTCCTCCTCGTTTGGTGGATCAGTCGTCACCGGCCATGGAGGGCAGGACAGTCTGACCGATGTTGCCGGAGCAGCAGGCCAGTTGAACTGCCCTTCGAAAAATTCTGCCCATCGTCCAAGACGTCGATGGATGTTAGTGATTGGCATCCCATCATCCTCGCAGATTGTTTCACTCACACCAGACTTCTTGCTGCCAGTGGCTCGGATGAGTTGGAAGAGCTTCCGGTAGTTACCAGATGCAGCTGCTGCTTCCAGCTCATTAGCACGCATCGACCACCAGGCTTCTCGGTCCTTACGCAAGCTTTGCCCAATTTCCTTACGTAACATCCTTCGTTTATGGTCAAACTCACGGTCACCCGGAGTAGACCGACGGGCTTCAATGAGTTGTAAGGAACCAGAAGAAACCCAGTGCTTAAAGCGGGACGTTTCGCAAACCCACAACTGACTGTTCCCGCCATTTTCATGGCGTCATGCAATTGCAACCAATGCTCATCTATACTTTTCGGTGGAGTGGTAGCTAGCCTAGAGGCTAGCTCGGTTCGATACTTACTTGCAACAGAAGTTGCAACCAGCTTGCTAACATCAATCCGTTGATGGCGGTCACTTCGTTGTCCACTGAAAAGTAAGGCAAGATTGGCGCAGACCAAGGCATGGTCAGAGTCCAGATAGGTACTCCAAAAGGAGCGGCAGTCTTGTACACAACCACGCCAGCGGTAGCTGATCGCGATGTGATCAATCTGAGTCCAGGCTTGAGATGCAGAGGGAGGACGCCAGGTGGCACATCGGCGATGACTGTGCCGAAAGTTAGTGCTAGCCAGAAACAGGTTGTGGTCTGTGCAAAGTTGCAGTAGACGGTCCCCGTTATCTGACCTGCGACCAACGAGTCCCCATCGGCCACCTAAACGACTCTCTTCTGTGCCTAGACGCCCGACCTGAGCATTCAAGTCTCCGGCTAGTACTACAATATCTGTCGAACGCACTTTCTGGAGAAGAACAGATAACTGGTGGTAAAACTCATCCTTGATTGCATCCGGGCTGCAATCTGTCGGGGCATAGGCGGAGATGACGAAAAGACATCGTTTCTCACGCCGATTTCTTCTCACTTTGATGGAACTTTCTAATCTAACAGCACATAACCGACTGTTAATGGGGATCCAATCGACTAGTGCTGCCTCAGCTCTAGCGCTTAGTGCGACACCAACGCCAGCAAGACCAGACGAAGATGCCACAGGGTCCCCGGATAAGCGCACGTAAAACAAGCTTTTCGAAGCGACAGATGGAGATCGAATTTGTAGTACTTCGCCAGAGTCTTGAATACGGGTCTCGGATAGACAACAGACATCGATATTAAGACTTTCCAAAGACATAGCCAGCCCTATCTGTTGTCCGACCTGCATAAATGTGCGAACGTTGAAGGCAGCCAGTTTGAATGGTGCACGTGGTTTCAGAAAAACTGCTTCAGTACTCATATTCGGTGGTAACATACAATTTTCAACCGGACAGTGACTCGAGAACGTTTAGATAGAGTCGAATTTTCACCATAGACGAGCTGCTGTATAAGTCGAAAAATATAAGAGGGTGAATAATGACGTAGTAAATAATAATAATAATGATAGCAATAATATTTGAATCAGTTGAATGTTCGTCGAAGCAAGAGAATTAGTTTCCATGATCATAGACAGTTCAGTTCATTAATTGCGTGTGGGCTGCGATACTGCCCGGGTGCCCAGACCGAAGCAGGTGGTTATCTTAGGGGGTCACACCCCGAGCCTTTGACCTAAAGGTCTAACCCATAAGGTAGTGGAGCATCGTAAGGAGATACAGTCCCATGGTTGCCGGTGACCGAAAATTGGTTCATACGCCATTTGTTCCCACAGGATACTGGTGCCCATGTGCACCATTGATTTGGAATACGGTTAAAGCGCCGGACATTCGCTTTTCGTCCTCTCATTTTCGTAAACAACACCCCCGCCACGAGAAGGCAGTGAGTAGGACTTCTCTGGCAGAGGCTGTATACGCGCGGCCGTGTGAGAGTATTTCGAGGGGGAGGGCGAATTCACCCCGCTCTCGGCCATACCAGGGCATTTGGGGGCAATGGAGGTGGTTACTTCATTCCCGAGAAAATTCGAAGTACGACTTGTTGTACGTTGTAAATGAAGACTAGCTGAGCATCGAACTTGAACTAAGATTACAATGTTTTAATGTTTTACAGGATTTAAAAGTTGGAGATCGAATAGTTCAATTTGGCTCAGTATCTGCTGACAATTTCAATTCATTACAAGATCTATCTACTGTCTTTAGAAATACATCTCCCGGTGTAAGTTAACATAAAAAAACATTATTACTGATTGCTATTTTTAGCAGTTTCATTAAAATGTTCTTTAGAAAGAAACCTATAAAAATTTATTTTCGTCGTTTTCTTTAGTATAACAGTTATCCGGTTGATTTTATTTGCAATGAACTAACGACGAGACGCATAGAAACCCCGATTCCCGCATCCGCGATAAAACAGTTAATTCTTAGATGCACTATGAGTGTCCAATTCAGATTTGTCAACGAATAATATAGACAACTAGATGGAGTCGCCATGGGATCACCATTGGGCCCTCTACTGGCTGATATTTTCCTTGCAAAACTGGAAAATGGACCACTTAAAAGTACAATTAGCCATTTACCAACTATCGCTATATATGGACGACACCTTCATAGTATTAGAAAAATAAAATGATAAGCATAATGTACTTAGTATATTTAATAACGTTCATCCATCAATTAATTTTACATCAGAAGATGAGCAGAATAATAGCATATATTTTCTAGACGTCCAACTAACTAGAAGAACAGACGGAACTATAAAAAGAAGGATACACAGAAAGTCAGCAGCAGATCAATACACTCATTTCCACAGTGCAGTTCCAATCAGATACGAAAGGAACTTGATAAAGATCTTGACCCATCGTGCTAGAATGATCTGCTCTGAAGACACCATTGAAGAAGAATTGAACAATATTCGGAACGTACTCAGTCTGAATGGGTACCCCATGAAATTCATCGACAAACATATGACAGAGAAGAAAGCAAGGACAAAAATACCCACCGTTTCCAAGAACGTATTATTCATAAAACTACAATTCATAAATGACACCATTGAAGAAGTCATGACTCAGAAACTAAGAAGAGCTGTACAAAAAACATTTAATGCTGCCAAATTAAATATCATCTTCTACAACCGCCCGAAAATAAGAACATCCATTAAAGACAGACTGCCAGAATTCGCCAAATCGATGTGTATCTATCGTTTCAACTGCTCCTGTGGAGCCAGTTACATAGGGCGTACAATTCGACGGATCCGTCATCGCATTACAGAACATCATCCGACATGGCTAAGCAAAGGACAGGTGAAAGTGATTAAAAGTTCTATTCTCTCTCACTTGGTTGACACAGGTCATCAAGTCGAATTGAATAAAGCTTTTAAGGTTATCTACAATTTTCCATCAAATCTACCACATGGTTTACGAGTGCGCCTTCTGCACATTGCGGAAGCCATCGCAATCCATGTTCACAAACCTGACCTTTGCATCCAAAAGAAATTCGTACAACCACTTTCTTCGCCCTGGCCTTCAGTATAAGATTTCTGTCATAAGAACTATTTTTCATATTTCTTCCACTTCTTTTTTCTATTTAAATTTTTGTAGTTTTGTTTCTATTGCTTTTGAACTTTATAACTTCTCAACATTCATCTCTTGATTTTTACGTAACTACTATCCTATTGACCATCCGTTAAAATTCTGTTCCTTCTCTGTTTTTTATATTACGCAACGTAGCAACTTCTTGATTTAATAATTACTTTGGATATTAATAATCCTCTTTCTTCCAATTACTCATTGTTAATTTAAATGTCATTATGTAATTATTACGTAACGTATCTACTCGATGAGTATTATATTATTATTGTAAAACATATATATATATATAGCCATGATGAAAAAGTAATTGAAAAGAAATTTCTTCGCTCAATTCGTTCCTTCTTTATTTACCAAATGGCAAAATGGGAATTTTTAAAAGTAAATTTGCTTATTTTTTGCAAAATATTCGTCACTCCTAACTGTAAGTGTGAATAGCCTTTCTGTCGATATCTTATTGCTCATTTTCTCCAGATGCTTATTTATGTACAAAAATGGTCTGTTAAAATATGTATGAAATTTCTATAACTTTGGCGTTGTTTGACTTCTACAAATATTCCATCTCAAACGCTAGGTAGATTTTGTTCCTCTGGTAAATTTTCTGGTCTTAGCTTTGTTTGAAATGAGTTAATACTCACCTCAACGTCTTTATCAGATATAATAATGTTTCTTCCCGTCATTTTGCATAACAACTGTCCATTCCACTCCATTATCATTACGTTTTTATGTATTACACCATATTACTTACTATTATTCAATGGCTTATGTTGTTATCATTTATTTTGCAGAATACTTTTGTATCGTATTATGTTGATATTTCTAAGCATTGACATGTAACTCTAACGTTTGATCCATTACATTACTGTGATTACATTCCTTCATAATTCTTACTTGCTTTCCTCCGTTACTTGTATTGTCCTATACATACTGATTATTCAAATAACATATATTTAAGGAAGAAGAATGTATTTAGAAAATTTCAACAATTGAATTTGAAGTAAATTCAACGTTTCACCCGGGAATCTGGTTCAGACTTTTTTAAGGAAACTTAATTAAACATCAAAATTATTGAATTCAAACAGGTATTTACTTTGGTTAGCTGTATACTGAATAGATCATCCAATCACATTAACAATGTTGAAAGTAAGTATTTGCTTTAGTGTGTATGAGGCATACATAATAAGGAAATCTGAACTCCTTATTCCCTTTGATCTATCACTTATTATCTGAATAACAGTAATTACATTTAACGATTCTAATCAGTTATCTCATTTGAATATAATGAATAAATAAATGGAACAGCAAAAACACAAAAATTCATTCATTTATTTTTATTTTGTCTACTTATCTTCATTTTATGCATGTTATGACATATTTGATTCATATCATTTATAATAATTGTATGTTTTCATTTAAAATTCACCTATCAGAGCTGATAAATAATGAATGAGATTTCTTCTTACACTTCAGATCCACTTACGAATACATACAATGTATTATCTTAACATACTTTCCGTTACACACCACATGCCTCATACACACTAAAGCAAATACTTACTTTCAACATTGTTAATGTGATTGGATGATCTATTCAGTATACAGCTAACCAAAGTAAATACCTGTTTGAATTCAATAATTTTGATGTTTAATTAAGTTTCCTTAAAAAAGTCTGAACTAGATTCCCGGGTGAAACGTTGAATTTACTTCAAATTCAATTGTTGAGATTTCACAAGTATATTCTTCCTCGTCAATGTCTTACATCGACTGGGTTAGGGCTTGCCTCGTAATGCAATTTGATTATCTCAATGTATGTCCTATCCACCTCCAACGTGTTTTCCTAATTTCCTCTTCATCTGGGAGTTGGTCTGTTTTGTGCCATACTAGTTTGTTGATGATATCTGGTAAATGGGTCTGAAGTATTTTGCGTAGACAATTGTTTCTGAATATCTATACTTTTTAATGATGTTTATGGTAGTTCTCCAGTTTCAGCTCCATACTATATAACTGTCTTGATTTTCGTATTGAAGTTTCTGACTTAGGTGTTAGCTGGAAGTTGTTTTGAACTCCATAATTTCTTCATTTATAATAATGCTGTCCTTCATTTTCCCTGCATGAGATCATTCTAGTTTATCAGTGCTGCTAACCAGGTACATGAAAGTTTCCAGATGTTCTCCATCAAGCGTGATTGGGTTGATGCTCGATGTGTTGGGATGTGATTCGGTGAGACCTATGAAGCTTTGTTTATGGGTTTGTGTGGGAATATAGTAACACGTATAGCCATTTTGTTGAGTGCACGTAAATTTGCAAATCTGTCACTACTCTTGTTCCTTTCTCCCAGTCTATGTCTTCTCATGACATCTTCATATCCGGTGTTGCCCGTTTCAACATTGGCGTTTAGTTCTCACATTAGGATGGTCAAATTATTTCCTGTGCACTTCTTGCTGTGTCCGCAAGCCAATCAGAATACGACTTATACAATCTTAACGCTATGCCAAACCGATAATGTATCGACCGGTATGAGCAACCTAACGTCATTTTTCCTACTAGCCCTGCCAGATGAGTCCAGAACAACAATACCAGCTTCCACTATGCGAGTCATTTATTTCAAACATACCTGGCTTATATATAAGCCAAACAGACCACATCACATGATAAAATAGTAAATGACATCTATACATGGTCAAGCCAAAAAGTGGCTGTGGTTATGGGAGACGGTAAATAATAAAGTGGACAGAACTTGAGAACAGTATATCGTATTAATAGTACATAAGTCAAAATAGAGCTAATAATATGAGGAATACGAATATACCTAATATAGCTACTCACTAATTATACAATAAGAATATAGCATCAGTCCATAAATAAAATTCCAACGGCTACCATCCATTATTGTCGTCGGAATATAACACTTCTCTTATGATCGACTCAATACCCTAATAAAATTGATCCTCATCGTTTCTGTTGCTATCATTGGTGGGTGCATAGCACTGGATAACATTCAATATGATCCCTTTCTTCTTTGTTTTGAGGGATCCTTTGATGATTGTTGATCCATGAGATTCCCATCCTATAGTTGTTTTACGTGCTTCTTTGGACAGCATCAAAACAACTGTCTGTGTATGCGTGGCATTTTTTTCTTGGTGACCAGAGTAAAGCAGCATCTCTCCCCAATCTAATCTTTTCGTTCCATCTTAGATCCAATGGGTTTCACTATTTCCGAGGACTGTCAAGATTTATCTCCTCATTTCTGTAACTATTTGACTAGTTCTCATGGTCTCCCACACTGTCCAAACATTCCACGTCATATTTTTGTGATATCTTATATCTTATTGTGAGATATTACAAAAAGATTTCGGATGAAGTGATTGTCTTCTAATCTTTAATATGACAATAAGTCTCATAATTAAGTTATTTTTGAATTAGGAATCACGATTTCATCTGATTAACAACTTCTATTTATTTTTTTATCTGTATACTTCGTTCTTATTTATTTCATTGGATTTGGCAATATTATTTAGAGCTGTATTCACATGTCGATTGTTCGCGGCGACAGTATGATAAATGTGCTTTCTATTTCGTTGTTGAAACCAGCTGAAAATGCCAGTATAGGGTGAGTCTATTGCTCTTAAATGTGTGTCGTATTTCGAATTTCCGAGTCCCCGACTTACGAGTCACTTATAATCTGTTTAGTTTGTGCCATAGTTATCGGAGTATGACTCCATCTATGTGTGAATAAAGTGTAAAAGCTGTACAAGAATTCTTCACATAAGATCTCTTGACCCTAATTTAATGATGTATTATTTCGAAAATCGGGCCTAATTATAATAATTTGTGTACTAGGACTAGTCAGTTTTATTATCCCTATGGGATGTTGTTCCTCTATTTACTCATAAAAAAACAATATAATTCGGCGGGGCATTAAAATAAATGCATCACGAAAACAGTAGAAAATAAATACTGGTTTCTCGGAAAGAACGCTATTTTGTATTGAAGTGTAACACATTTGGGTCACAGAAATTTGTGCACAGATAACTGGTTGTAAAATATGCGGTTACTGTGGATTTGCTATTAACTCGAATTGAAAAAACACCGTTTGATGGTTAATTAAAATATGCCAGTTGACTGTATTACAGAATGCTTAGTTAGAAACCTATCAGAATTTCGTCATTTAAACCTGCTTTTTTAAAACTTTTTATTTTCAGGATGCACGTTGTTCCTATTTATAGTAAAAATGATTTGATGTAAACTTTCTGTTATGTGTATTCGTTGTTGATGAACAAAGATTCTTTTATATATATATATATATATATATATATATATATATATATATATATATATATATATATATATATATATATATATATATATTCATTTAACTTGCTAATTTGAGGTCTTTTGAATTTCGTTTGACTAAAGTAGTATTTAGAAGAAATGTATCAAGGTGGTACTGATATGTATGTGCAGAATCACTCACTCACAACGGTATTTTCATAAGACTGTCCATAATTACCAGCGTAAGTTTAGTTAAGTATTTTAATGTATTGTCACGTGAAATTCTCCGTAGAATCATTTAAGTTCACGAGTATGACTGTTAAGTCTATCGAAGCGTCCAAGTCACCCGATTGAGATACGCGCAAAACCGAAGTTTCCAAAACAACGATTTGTCTACAATAGCAGTTCTTTATTAAATAATACACAAAATTTAGTTACAAACCTCAACTTGTGAGGTGTCTAGGCGTTTGAACGCGTCCTTCAGGAATGAAAATAACAAAGGCTTCCTATAAGAGTAACATAAAGAATAATTATAACATACGATAGTAGAAAGACAGCCTATAGCTGTGTCTAAATTTGATAACAGTTTATGGGCAGACGAAACTCGAACCAAGAGCAAAACAATATAGAAACTGTTGCGTTTGAAAAAATGCACAAAACTGTGGATAACGGCTACAGCGATTAAGATACAGTAATTACAATGATAAATACAATGATAAGTACAATAAACGTTATAAGTATATGTGAACATTTCAGAATATTACAGTACAACTTGCGTTACAATATAAGTGTGAAAATTGTTGGGAATACAACTGCTTACTGAATATAAATAAGAAGTATAAGACAATATACAAAAGAGTAGAAAGGGGACGAGTAGGAACAATGTAAGTCAAACTTAACAATGACGTATTGTACTCCCTTTACCTCAGTTGAATTTATGAAAATTATACTCATAGGTCATTTTTTCCATTCCATGGATAAGGAACTATGTCCACATACAAACCTTACATTTTTTTCTTAGACTACTGATGTAGCGCAGTGTGGTGTAACTTTCAGGTTTCGCTGTTGACATTATTATATCGTCCGCCAATCCTACATATTTTAGTTGCCTTTATTATAGGTTCCAGGTATTTAGGATATTTAAAATTTTTAGACAATTTAGCACACAGAAACTGGTTGGTGAACTGTGCGCTAACTACTAATAGTTTGGTGAGCCGTGTCTATAAGTAAGTGGATGACTGTTCTAAGTGCAATGCATGAGTACGATCGGTTGATTATGGGGATCGGAAGTTCTCATCATCATGTACTTGGCAACTCACTAAAACTGATCGAGTTTGTAAAGTGATCCTGAAAGGTAATACTAAATCCCCTACCTGATCGTCACCAGACACTACAATATACAGTGGATAAGTCAAGTGTAATGCCTACTAATAACTACGAGAAACTGGTCAAAGGTTCTTTTGGCAAGCATATGTACTTAGTGGGTACATGCGATTATGTTGACCAGTCGATAAGGTTGGTTACAATTTGGAAAACTGGGTGATAAAGCGAAGATGTCCTACAGGCTGGCGTTTGGCAGGATCTTTTGCCCTAGCGACCTGATTCTATAAAGAATAGTTACGAATGTGTAATACAATATGAAACTTTGGCTCCGTATGTTATTACTTGAACTGATTACGTCAGGAAGGGCTTCGGAAACGTTAGTGCAGATAGTCATAAGAATGACTGATCAAATAAGTCAAACGTCCCGACTCACTTTCATTAATCAATATTTTTAATCAAATAGAAAAATATAAGCTAAAGATGTGATGGCGAGGGCAAGTGTTAAGCACATACGCTCAGAAATGAACAATCAGTGTTATAAGGGGACAACTGACAAGGTCGAACATATGTGGACGATGACTGAGAGATGTGATTATATGATGATTAGAAGTATTTGAATTATAGTGTGAACTAAGAATCCCAGAAATAACGTAGTCGGATCAAGAAGTACTAGATAAACACAAACGAATGTACTGTATTTAGAATTCAAAATCAAGCATTCAACAAGTACAAAGGTATCATTAGTTCATTCAAACACCACATCCGCCACAGCTTAAATTAGAGTCTAAGTGTCTGTAATCGATTGTACATCTTCTTAAGTTCATCCTGTGTTTGTCCGACATTGCATTGGATAAAAACTCGGCATTATCTAGAACGTGCTCATTAGTATTGAAACTAACAACCGAAATCGGAACAGAATCACCTGCTTCCTAGGATTGTATACAATCAGGATGTCGATTTTGTAATGAAATCATTAATATCTAGAATTCGAACCGTAGATTGTTCAACATTATCCTCCACCACGAAACAATGTTGGATCTTTATATCCCCAAGTTATGAATAGTGTGGCTTCATTTAAAACCTATTTCTCACATTGATTAGAGTATACAATGGAAATGGATTTGTGATAAGGATGAACAGCAGGTGATATGAAATCATCCGAATTGTCATCAAAATCGAGGTCATTTAGTACTCTTGCTTCGCACTGAACACGTTTATCACAAGAAACAAATGCATTATGAGGACAAATAATGCTTAGCATGACATCAAGCCTTGACTCTTCTGAAATAGTTTCCTCAAATTTCTAAAGAATGTCATTGCAGAGTAAAGGATCATTAGAAAAATCAGCATCTATCAAGACTGCATCAGGTTTTCGATCATGACTAAGTTCATTTAACATATTTTCCTCACCACCAGATTAGTGTTTCCAAAAGATAATAATACACATGTACGTGAAGTATTACTACGTGTAAGATCCACTTTGAATCTTTTGTGTGCGAAAATCTCCGTGTATACATTTGCGGTTTGTTCCTAATGATTCCTTTAGTTGTACGTTTGTTAGTCTTTTTGATCCCATCTGAATTGTTAATATTTGTATTATATTATAGTTTTTATTTTTCTTACGCCTTCACTAAGTTTCCGTGTTTCTTCCTGAACTGCATTTATGTTGTTTTACTTGATACTTAGTCTTGGCAGCAGCCATATTAGTTTGTTCCTCCTTCTGATTGTGCTTCTTGTATTGACTGGAATTTTGCATTTTTGATTATGAATTGAGGCACTCTTCCAGAATCGGAAACACTCTGTGCTATTAAGCAACCAAATATTATCTTTTGAACGAATCTGTGAGTGGTCTATCCAGACAGGATAGAATAACATTTATTTGTTGCGATTGGTAATTTTCCCGCACCCTTTATCAACTTCCTTATTTACTGTAGTTTAGATTTGATTAATTGGACAATTATTGGTTGAGTAGCTGGATGGCCATACTAGCAATCCACAAACTCAAGCCTGAAATTTGCGTGCAGAAACGATTTGTCCAACCTCTCATCCTTCCTTGGCCTCAATTCCCTTAATGAGTATGTTTCTGTGTGGGTGCTTTTTGTTGTTGTTGTTTTTCTGAACTTTTATTTAATTATTATCGATATTTTCTAAACCACTATTTTGCACGTTAAACTCTAATCACTTATTATTATTACCTTATACAAGTTTTCTTGATTATCATCCAGTTTATTATTATGACCTTTGTTGTTCGTCGCTTTTCTTCATATCTGTCAATAGGACTATTATCTGACCCATAAATTTCGTTCTTCCTTACCCCTTGATTAGTACGTTAACCTGATTTGTTATTTATTCTCGAATCCATTTTTGTGATGCAATCCCTTCTATTTTTCTATAGACATATTTTCCATATAACTATGTATACGAATGTACAGCTTAAGCAAATGATTTCGTCGAAAAGTTTTCTTCGCTGAATTCTCTTTTTCTTATTCAGTGGTCATTTTTGTTTAGGTAACAATGTACATTTAAATTTATGATGAATTTTAGAACCGTCATTTTACTCAATTACTTTGATTTGGTTTCAACCGGGCAAGTGTGCGTATCTAACACACCTAGACAGCTATTCTACAGTCCAAACCTTAGTTTGGATCTTACACTACGTTCTACAGAATAACTTGGTATTTAACTTAGAAATCGTTTTCTGCATGCAGGCCGTCCAGGTTCTCACTGGTGGTCTATCTTAGATCGACTCATGAATTCAACTATTAGAATTGCTACGATCGCCGGAATCTTCATTTTGATCAGAAGGTATAATCAAGTCTGCAGGAGAACGAAATGTACCTTCTATTGGATTGCGCATATCAGTGATGGAAGTACAGCACATCGTAATAAGAGGTGTAGTTCTAATCACCAGGTGTATGTGTTTATGATACTGGCGCGAGATGAGTTCGAAAGTGTAACTTCATTGTGTCAGTTTTAAGACGAGGTATGACTTCAAAATGTGAAAACCATAGGCTAGATATGAGCAAGTGACATTTTAAGACGATTATAAACTATGCAGAGAACATAAGGTAGGTGTGAATATGAAATGAGATATAAATGTTTATATAGGTAACAGGTTTAATTTAGCTCAGTTATTACCTGATAAAAACGTAGGAATTCTGCCTGATTAAGAACTTGTTGAAGGAATCGTACAGTGTTATGAGAACCTAAAACATAACAGAATACCTGGATTATGCGCTTGGCAGTAGAGGTGAAAACTTTGTTTTTACATGATCTGTGATAGGTGAATGAAGAACAGTCTTGGTTAGGGGAATGTCTTGAATTTGTTGATAATGATTGTAAATGAAAATCTGTGTTTACAGTTGTTGTCTACGATTCAAAATAATTGTTGAGGTTCCTTACGAAAAAGATCACTGGTATCACATTCTATCGATTCCACAATATACTCATTGAGACGACGAGATCTATGGAACTTTTTTGTGAGCTCAACATATTCAGCACTTAGTAGTCTATGTGGCTGGGCAATATGATGTCATTCAGTCAGCTACAACGTAGGACCAGGCACATATATGCATCGGCCCAAGTTGCCATACCTCATTA